GAAGCATGAAAGAGATCCTTTAAATTTTAAGGTGAAGCACAGAGTAGAAATGGGGAGGGAAGGAACTACAATAGAAAATGGATAAAAAAGGGAAAGAACAAAAGGAAGGGGGATCCCTGGACGGAAGACCGTACTACCACCAGAGCTAAGGGAGTAAGAAGAAATGTAAAAAAGACAGAGGAGAATCTTGCTTCAGTCATCAGTCCAAAAGGAGACTGCAGCCAAGAAATCAGAAGACTTGAAAGGGGAGCAATGAAGGAACTAGAAAAGTTCATCAGGTATAAGGATTCGTCACTGGAAGTGAAGGCCAAGATCATCCATACTATCATATTTTCAATCACTATGTTTGTGTGTGAAAGTTGGACAGTAAAGAAAGATGAAAAGGAAAAAAAAATTCATTTCTAATGTGGTGCTGGAAGAGAGCTTTGTGGATACCCCGGGTTGCTGGAAAGATGAACAAGTGGGTTCTAGACCAAATCAAGCTTGAATTATCTCTGGAAGCAACATTTTTGAAACTGAGGCTGTCCTGCTTTGAGCACATCATGAAAAGATAGAATCCCCGGAAAAGACAATAATGCTGGGAAAGGCTGAAAGCCAACAGGAAAAGAGGAAGATGAAATACGGGATGGATTGGCTCCCTGAAGGAACCCACAGGCTTGAGTTTGCAAGACATCAGCAGGGCCACGGAGGACAAGACATCAGGGATGTTGGCAGGTCTTTAATATCAAGTCCCAAGCCAGAGTCCCTATTAAAATAAGCTTTTGTCCAAAGAAAAAAGAGAATAGGTGGGTGGGTTCCAAGTTGCAAGTTGAGTCGTAGTCATTGAAAAAAAAAACCAACAAGTTGAGTCTGAGTCAAGTCACTGATGCAGCTTAAGTCTGACTTGACAGCGAGTCCCGCGACTTAAGTTCCCATCCCTGCAGGACATTTTGGAAATTTCTCATTCATGGGGTTGCCATGAGTTAAGGGCCCTTGACGGCATGTAACAACAATAAAGGGGAGGGGAAAAAAGTAAAGTGGAATCCTGGAAGAGAGATCTTAGAACCAGCAATACTAAGGAAACAAGAAGAAATGAAAAAATGCAGAGAGGGGATAGGAAGTGGGTAGGGTGACGGGGGAAGAGACGTGGTCCCTAGCCATATGCTACTTAGAGGGCTGTGTTATTTCTTTAAGTCTACAGTATATGCATGTAATCATCAGTTGCTTCTGTGAATAAGCCTTTGAACTCACATATTCATCCCCTGTGAATGTACACCTGCTGGTGTCAGAGATCTGGTATTCAGCCACAAAAGACCAAAAGATTTGAGCGCAACAGGACTCCTATTCCAGAAGAGTTATATATATGTTTCACATGCCTGTGTTTTTATCTCTCTCTTTTTTGTCCTCCTTTTTCTTTCTGTGCCTTTCCTGTTCTTTATATACTAAATGATAGTGCTGTGCACATCACTGTGGCCATCAGGAGCAAAGTGGACTAGGTGTTCTCTCCAAAAAAGCATATGTCCTTCCCACTAAAACTTAAAGGAGCATCCCATATAGTAACCAGTAGGGCCAGCAGCTAGCGAAACATGCCTGGTGTATATATACAGTGTGCATACGTATATGATACTAACTTTTTGCCTTCTTTCTCTGCAGCAAACCCGGACAGATTTCTCCTGGGATGGAATTAATGTAAGTACAGTCATCATCCCTCTAAGGTGTTCTTGGGCAATGAGCCCAATTTGTGAATGTTTTCCAGGTTTTGAAGATGTGCGTTTGCTGTTAAATAAGATGCATGAATTAACAAGCATTGATCTTACTAACAATGTATGCCCACTCCATGGATTAACACCCAGGAAAGTGTAAATGTTTTAAATATGATTTCCTGGGTTTAAGAATGCAGGACTTGGGTTATGAGGATGTATTTGTAGTGTATTGGAACTGTAATTTGCAAGCAGAATCTGACAATCTTTCTCATTGTGATAGATCTTGTGCCAGAAGAAATGGCACTTTTTGGTTACTTAGTTTTTCATATTGCATTGTTACTCTTCCAGTGTGAAGACAGTACCCCCTTTTTAAAAATGTAAGCATTTATTTTGAATTTTGAAATGTATACCAAAATGTGTTCAATTCCCTCTCCCACTGGAGGCTGGATGTCATTAGGGTACTATTGTCACATTTTCTAAATGCAGGTATAATTTCAAACTATGGTTTGCATTAGCAATAGCTCATAAGTTAAAACTACTGTGTGACTTTCCAAATATGCAGCAATCAGAATAAGTTGTTACTCTGTGTTGTTGTTGTTGTTGGTTTTTTTGTCTTCTCAGTGTTCAGTGTTATAAGTTCCTTCCTGTCTCCATGGGCCAGAACACAATGAGCACAAATCATGATTAGCAAACCTGCTTCAGTTCAGATTTTTAGGCTCTAGTTTACTGGTGTACTGTATTGGAAAACAGAATTGGCTTTATATTTTTGATGGTCTCTGATTGCTCATGCTACTGGGCCAATTCTGTTCTTCAGTAACCCTCTTTCCCTCCATGTAGCTCACATAAGCCTTCCTTCCTTCCTTCCTTCTTTCCAGCCATCCATCCACCCATCCACCCATCCATTTAAGATAAAACAAGCCTTGTCTAAAATTACTCAAACATGCTTTCTTAAAATTGCAAGTACAGTTTTGTAAAAGCAGCATGAAATTTTCTTTTGTTTGGAACCTCTTCACTGCCAAAAATTGTGTCACCACTCCTAAATAGTGTCTTTCGAAGCTTCCACTGTCAAAAGCAGTTACTAAAAATGTGACCAAGACTCCCAAATGTCCAGGGTGTGAAACTGATCTAGATTATATGCCAAAGGAGCCTTCAGAGGTACTCACTTCAAGTCAGAAATGGCAATCCTTGATCCCAGCATGCTACATAGTGCCCCTGAAAGGTCACAGGTATTGCTTTGCCAAAGGTCCACTTAGCAAGCTTCAATCTATATATAAATAAGAATGACACAAAGTGGAGTGGAGAGAGAGGGAGAGATTTCTTGCTTGTGTACTCTGTTGAGCAAGGAAGACCAGCGTTTATTGTAGCTGGAGAATTCCACACAAGCTGTGCATGTGTGGAATTGACCCACTTAATCTTCACAAAATACTGTGCAGTAGGTTATGTCTAGCACTAAGAATCTCCAGACATCTCCAGACATCTCCAGGCCTCTCTTGGGGTTGGCATCATCACCCGCCCAGCCTGAGATGCATGGATAGGAGGGGCAGTCCCTCTTGGAAGGAGGTGTTTTGAGAAAGAGCATATCACATTAACCACACTTTCAAAAAAGTGTGCATGGTGCTGACTAGAGATGGGGGTATTCATATACAAATATGAATACCCCACACATGTGGACATAATGAGGGTCCAGCCCCCTGGGGCTGGACCATCCACTCACCTCCTGCTGTTGTTACAGGCTCTCTCCGGAGCTCACGGTCTGCAAGATGCTCCTGGCAGGAGGTGGGAGGACAAGCCTCACTGCCAGGTCGAAGAGTGGCTCGCAGAGGGGTTGGACCCTCGTTATGTCCACTTGTGCTGGGGTATTTGTATTCGTATATGGATAGGAATGCTCCCAGCTCTAATGCTGACTCCTTTATTTGGAAGAAAAGCAGCTGAAGGGAGATTCTCAGGTCCAGCATCATACTTAAAATTCAGATTGGAGTTACCATCAGTTTCGTACAAGAAAACCTCTGCCTGGATACTGTTTCCCCACAGTAATGCTGTTTGCACTAAACAGCACAACTCAGACACAAGCAATAAAGAAGAAATACATTTTCAGGGAGAAATCCAGTGGAGAAGTTGATCCAGGCCAAAACTGTCACATTTGATCTGGACTGCCTTTCCACTGAAATAAAAATGGCAGCATTAAATGTTCTTTAGAAGAAGCTTGATTAATGTGATGTTTTGTTAGCCCTCAGTGAGTTTGGTATGGTTACTTCCAGATGAATTTAGGTTTGCAGGCCAGCTTTAATTACAACGCAGCAGTCCATCAGTTTCTTCTCAACAGTCATCTGGGGGAAAGAGTACTGTGATGAAAAGGTAATACTGTGGTGTAAGAACAAAATCATATTGCTGCCTGAAATGGTGGACTAGACAGATGGTTGCTGTTTTTCTCTTATTACTTGTGTCAATCAGAGTAGTTTAATGAGAGAAATAAGAGTAGTTTTCTCTTATTAGTAGTGCAAAAGGAAAGCAAAAAAAAAACCCCAGACCCTACAAAATCTTGTGTCATAATAAATTTCTTAGTCTTTATGGTAGGTACTACAAGTCCCTTTATAGTTGCTTGTAAGATGTTCTCACCCCAGCTGTCATTCTCATAATCTTCCTTTGTTACTAAAGCTAAAAAGAAACTGGAAAAGAATAAGGATTTTTTTTTGGAGTTCCACTTATTGTCCAATTTCACGGATTTGCCATAACCATAGCACTAATGTCTCCAGCTATTTGAAGTGGGGACTGGAAAAGAGAGGGCAGTTTTTTTCACCTTGCATAATGTCAATCAGGTCACATTCCCATGGAGATATCTCAAGGTGGTAATAATCCTTGGGCAGACTGATTTGAAATTTCAGTAGCACTATGGTATCAATAGATTTCCACAGACTCAACAACAAAACAAAAATGAATGAATGAGAATCAAATGAGGGTGACCGCACAACAGGAAATCATGAAGTTGTCATTGAAAACAGCAGTGCCTGATCAAGTACTCTCCCTTTGTAATGAACAGTCCTACTTATGCCATGCCAGGGATGTGAAGCAGAGAAACAAATGGCATAGTGACATCAGGATGTGAGTGAAGTTGTATTAAATATGTATGGGGCCAAGCTGAGTTTTGAACATTTGCTTTAAAAGATACCAAGGCTACCCCCACCAACAACTACTACTTTATCACTAACATGGTTCCAACTTGCAAAAAATAATTCTTCATTGGGAAATCAAAATGGACTTAAATAGTTACTTTCTATTACCTTTTAAAAATCAGGATGCTAAACACTAGTGGTTCAAAACATATTTGACTAACAAGGCCACTTCCTGTAACTACAGAAGTAACTAGTCGTCATTACGCTGGCCAGAAGGTGAATCTGTCCCTTGTTATACTATTAGCATAGTGTAACCTAGGCATTTTTACTTGTGGCGTTCACCCTTGTGGCACCTGCATGTACTTGTGGCGTTCACCCTTGTGGCAACCTGCATGTTTTGCCCTTACAAAGGCTCACATCGCATTTTCCTCTCGCTGCCACCAGTGGATTACCTCAATCCACAATATAAATGCCATTTGTCAGAACACTTGTCTTGTGAATAAAAACTTATTAATTGAATTGAAGCAGATTTAATAATAACAGTTCTTCAGATAAACATTGTACACAAGCAAATCATTAACAGTTCTCTCAGTACATACTTTTCTCTTGCAAAATCATTACCACCTTATCTACCTATTTTCTTAACCAGCTTTATCTCTTAGTATCTGTTCCCTCTCTCTCTGACTAACCAGTCTTTAATCTCTATCTTGATCTCACCCCAATCTCTGACTCTCCCGCCAAGCCTGATATAGCTGCTGACTCCGCCTCTCCAGTCCTCTCATAGGCTCATGCAAATCAGCTTATGACTATGAATGGCATGAGTGATGTTGGGCAATCATCGCAGTACTTCTATGTTTTGCTTTATTTTCTGTCCCTTAGTACCCTGCTGAGTGTAAGTTGACTCATATAAAGTGCAGAACTATAAGTTACAGCTATAGTTCTGTCAGTTATAGTGAGCCAACTAAGGATGAACTGGCCAGAATCTTGTTGGTGTTCATGTAAATTTTACATAACTTGCTGTGGCTAATTGATTCAATGCCAGGGCACAATCAGATGTGTTGCCATACATGCATTCAGTACATACCCTGACATCTCATTAATTAAGTGCAAGTAGGAGCACCAAGTTACCCAAACATGATGCAAACATCATGGAAATAAAAATTGTATCCTAGTCCGGACACACATGTTTCAATTTTGACAATAGTTTTCTGATTTCACCCCCTGTCGCTTCAGTCCAGTCTACAGCAAAACATTATTAGTATTCGGTCTTCTCATTCATGCTCCTTTGCTTTATATAGACAGCTGTTTTGCCTTTATTTTTCTGTGTCTCATATATTTTAGCAAACTGATAGTAAAAATGGCAGAAACCAGCCACTAAATAAACAGATTGGGAATGGCTCCAAATTAGAGATGGGGACGACTCACCATTATGGTGAGTCGTCCCGCTTCATGAGTCGTCAAAAGCTGATGACTCACAAAGCACGAACTTGCCCCATGAAGTGATGAATAACAAATATGTTCATCGATTCATGGGTGAGAGTTATTAAAAAGCACACACCACCTCCTGCTGCCACTGCCACCCCCCGCTGCCACCGCTGCCATCCCCCGCCTGCCTTAAGGGAATCCAGGCTGCCCTGGCAGCTGCAGCTTCCCTACCCTAAATGAAGCTGCAGCTGCCATCTTTGCAAAGGGCAGCCAGTTTCCCTTTTTACACACCATGGCTGTGGAGGCCTGATGGAGACCTCAGCAGCAGCGGATTACAGTAAGGGGGTGTCAGCATGTGGGGTGCTAAGATAGGGAGAGGAAGGAGGTGGGGGTAGACTGTGGAGGTGGGTGGCTGCCTATTGGCCAGTCAATGAGTTGATCAGTGGCCGGTAGGCAGAATGGTTTTTTAAAAATTATTATTATTATGAAGGGATGAATAAAATGGGGAAATATTATCCTTTCGTATTCATGGGGGTTTCTGGAACCTATGAATATGAAGGGACAAATATTTAACGGATCAGCAATTTTCCACAAGTATCACAATCATTTTTTTTCATTCCCATGTCTACTCCAAATATTTTGATGCTTGAGACAGAAGCCTCCAAAATGACAACGTATTCAAACAGCTCTTTCATTGCTTAACTAATGTGTGCAGGTTTTTCTCTCAGTGACTAATCTTCCAGCTTTGTCTATTCCTTCTCATCCAGGTTTATTCTTCTTCCCAGTCTCTTATCTTCTTAGAACCCCAGACTGGAATGTTTCCTGTTCCTCAACCACACCCACCACACCATACCCTTTCGCTCCTTTACATAATCTGTCTTTTCAGCTCTCTATGGAAGATACCACCTCCATCCTTCCCAAGCTGAAGCGAAACTCCAATGCCTATGGGATCGGAGCTCTTGCTAAGTCATCTTTCTCCGGTGAGGATCACAAACCCTTGGATGGCACATCTTTCTCATTCCTTGCTGATCTTGATTATACTCCCCTATTTTTCACTCCAAAGATCCTACAGAACCCCCCACAAAACTAAGCTAGGGTGATGTTCAGGTTTTGGTAAGCCACATAATTATTCCAGGCGTCCCTGTGTCTCACAACTACTTTACCTCATTATTTATTAGTTAGACATTTTATCTTACGACCAATTTCCTTATATGAACGATTTAATCTGTTGTCATATGTGAAGGGCAAAACTATGTCCTTTTCCTGTTGAAAAAAGTATATTGTGCAGTGAGGCAAAACACAACATTTATGTCGCCTTTCACATTGTACCAGACAGATGTTTCTGCCAAGACTGAGATTTTCTTAATATAAAAGGCAACATGTGAAAAAGCCCTAATTTCCCCCTCAGTCACCATCCTTTCTGCTCCACCTCCAAATGTATAATTTACCCCTGTGGTTTATTCAGAGCTGCCTCTTTTATTTAATGATTCCTTCCATAGGAAGGGAAAGATGGAAAAATTATAGCAGCAAATATGGTGATTTTTAGAAATATTCCAAAGACCTCCTAGCATTCTGACAGGGTGTCAGTGAAGGGCAGCAATTGACAGATCAACCGATTGTATCCTTTGTAGCTTGAAAACACTCCAGAAGTACACAGCTTCAGCTTCCTTGAAAACAAATGTTATAGCATGTGAAAGGAGCTTGATAACATTTAAGATTTTGAATACTTGAAAGCATTACCAAGAATTGTGATTCCAGGTTGTTCCAGATTCATAATTTGTACAGGCTATAAATATTTGGGGAACTTTATAAGAATATGTTGTTCACTCTACCCCCCCCCCCGACTACATTAAGCGGAATGTGATGTCTAAATAAATTTAAATAAGTCAAGTTACAAAAAAAAATATGTCTTTATGGAAGGAGATAAAAGGATCTGCTTTTGTGCTTTTTCAAAGAGTCCTAACTTTTTTTTCAGTATGGAAAGTGCTGTAGGATAGTTCATTGAAGTGCTGGTTTAAATCATTTCTGTAGAAAACGTGGCTGCAGAGCCGCAATACTTTCTGAACTCCTTAAATCTACAAAACATTGGAAAGCTTGTGATAAGTCAGAATGAACTTCAAGTTCAAGTTCATTAGTTATTACTAATTTTAGTTTATTAAGGGACTATCGTAGCTACGAGGCTTAGTGGTATATTTTCCAACTATTTTAGGATTGTTTTTTTAACGTGCCTCGTGACTTTTTCTGCTGATATGAAATCCAGCCAATGTTGGTGTATGGACCAAGGGTGGAGGAGGAGCTCCCACTGGTGCCAATGAGAACTTCATTCACAATGCAAAAAAAAACAGTTTGGGGAGGGGTATCTGTGACATCCGTCAAGAGTAGGATGTGGAGGAGAAGACTAAGTTCCTCTGTATGCCTGCTGTGGTCCTGATGTTTGCCCTATGGCCAGTATTAGATCCTTTAAAAATAGCATGCATGCTAGTTGCTAATGCATAACAACATGACAGTCTTTAGTAACTGATGAATAACTAATTAAATAGTGAATTATATAAGCATTGACTAAATACATGTGATTAATTAACCCCTTGATGTCCAGTTCATTTTGACCCTCTGTTGTGATGAATGGTTATAGTGGCCTTTGTATGCAAGATTGCAATGAGTGGAGTTATGAGGTTGACCTTTAGTGCAGTGCTCCCCAACCTTGGGCCTCCAGATGTTCTTGGACTTCAACTCCCAGAAATCCTGACCAGCAGAGTTGGTGGGGAAGGCTTCTGGGAGTTGTAGTCCAAGAACATCTAGACACCCAAGGTTGGGGACCACTGGTTTAGTGGGAAGATGACAAAGTGACAAAGTCATTCCGCTAAGTGACAAAGAGGAAACTAAGGCAGCAGTCCCCAGCATTTTTAACTCCTGGACCAGTTTGGGAAGGCAGGGCACCCCCGCATTCATGCACATGTGCGAAGGAGCTGGCTTGCTTGTGCGCATGCATGAAGGAGCGGGAGAATGCTCATGTGGGCAGGCACACGCTCATGTGCATGCACGAAAGGCAGCATGTTGCTCGTGCAGGCACGCTTGTGCACATGCGTGAAGGGGTGGGGGAGTGCTTGTGTGGGTGCAGCTGCATGCATGCAGGTGCAAAGAGTCTGTGGGGGGAGTGTGGGCAGGGGGGGAGGTCTGTCTCTGAGGCCTGGTCCGCCTCAGGCCACGGACAAGCACCGGCAGCAGACCAGGGGTTGGGGACCTCTGGACTAAGCAGTAGAAACAGGCCCATTCGAGGATGATGTGACAAAGGGCTTGGAGCTGTATAATAGCCCCTTCTTGTTTTCTTAATGTCTGGCGCCTTAGGGATATCTCGCAGCATGAAGGATCATGTCACAAAGCCCACTGCCATGGGTCAAGGTCGGGTGGCACACATGATTGAATGGCAGGGATGGGGCAAAGGCAGCAGCCAGCAGCAGATTCACACTCACGAAACGGTGCGGAAGGATGCAGACGCTTACTCTGACCTCAGCGATGGGGAGAAGGAGGCCCGGTTCCTTGCAGGTAAGACCACTGCACTCTTTGTGGCCCATCAGCCTATGCTTCTTTCATGGTGGAAATAGACAAGGAAGGAAAGGATGATGGGAAGGACTGTATGCATTGTTGTGTCTGCTCAAATATCTGCTCTACTTAATTTTTTAAAAATTAAATGTTTTGTTACTTAACCCAGTTCTATGCTGTGTGTGAGGAGAAGAGCAATTTGCCTCACCACTCTCCACTTTCATCTACCTCAAACAGAAGTGGATGCCTCTGAAAATGAGACAGTCTTATTCACAGGGAGGTTCGCCTCATGACAAGAACTTCAGTTTTCCTACTCACGCGAAGAAGCCTCCACAAGAAAAGGAACATTTCATATTCAGACATGTTGGCTTTTGCCTGAGAAAGGCAGTGATGAGAAAGGGTCAGGGCTGTAACGTCTTCTGTCTCCCTTTGCTCAGAGCACATATTCTCTCTACATTGTGGAGGTGGGTTAAAAAGAGGGATAAGTAGCTCCTGTTGTTCCTCCCTTGGCAGGAATAAGTTTGGACATGGGGGCCTCTGAGCACATACATAGCCCCGTCTCTGCTGCAGAGCACCCAGGGGTTGACCAATCTACCTTCTTTCACGGCTGATTTACATTGTACATTGCCCCAGTTCCATCCGATAGTGCTGCCTGCTGCTATTGCAGGTACAGGAAAAGTTTGGTGCAGTGGTGTCAAGACTGCAGAGGTGGAGAGGAAAACACAACACAGAGCTACCATTTTAGCTCCCCCCCCCACAGTGCTTTAGTAGTATGCCAACTACCTTAATCAGGACACTTAAAGCAGCAATCTCCAGCCTTTTTCAGTTTGCAGACCGGCTGGGGAAGGCGGGGCTCCCCCTCGCACTTGTGCGCATGTGTGAACAAGCATGCGTGCTCTCTTGCACGGGTGCGCACTGGGCGCTTGTCTGGGCACACGCGCACTTGTGCGCATGCCCAAACGGCGGCACAGCACTCGCACAGGCATGCTGGAGCGCACGTGCAGGCGCAAACGGACTGTGCGGGGGTGAGTGCGTGTGTGCGGGGGGTGGGGGCAGGAGGTCTGTCTCGGCGGCTCAGGCCACAGACAGGCAGGCACTGGGCCGCGGACCAGGGGTTGGGGACCTTTGACTTAAAGGATTTCATTTCTTCCCACATCATTCAAATGTATGTTCATGTAGGAATTCGATGTGTTTGTGTTTCCTTTTTCGAATATGAAGCTAAAGTATGGCAGCTCTTCTAGGAGAGGGCTGCCTGTTATTAAAATATTATACTCTGCCATCTGGCTAGGTTTTTGGGTAGTGCCTCAATAAATTGGGCCGAATGAGCTAAGAACACAGTCTCAGTTCTTCAAGGATTCACAAGGATTAGTCAGTAAGGCAGACTGGAATGAAGCAGCAAGCATACACTATTTATTTTATTTATTTATTTATTTATTTATTTATTTATTGCATTTATATGCCGCCCATCTAGACATGGTCTACTCTGGGCGGCTCACAACATACAAATAGAAAACAATTTAAAATATACACAATTTACATAGATAAAAACAGAAAAATATATAATCAAAGAACTTACAATTTTAACAAACAATCACTAACGACTGAGGAGAGAACAGAGTAACCCCATCCACCTCTTTTCTTCTGGTCTCTCTCTTTCTTTCTAACATAGGGGTAATGGAGCAGTTTGCCATCTCAGAAGCTACCCTCATGGCTTGGTCTTCCATGGATGGTGAAGACATGAGTGTCAATTCCAGTCAGGAGAACCAGGCTGGCAACTACAATGAAAACTATCAGGAGATGATGGAGAACCAGGGTGAGAATGTACAGGGTGAGTAGGGTGCTTCCTGGGCTGCCCTGAGGAAAATCCAGATATAAATCAAATAATAACAATGTGCATTTTCCTCTTAGATTTCTGGGAGATGGGTGTAGACCCATCGGGAAACAGGAAATTTTTCTAGCAAGCTGATAAGAATCAGCCTCATGGCTTTTCTAGAGAGACCAAGGTTATAGAATTGCTGGATATCTCAATGGCTTTAGCATCTGGCGGTGGAGCTAGAAGTTGGAAGTTTAATTCCATGCTGTGCCTCCTTGACAAGGACTGGACTCAATGATCCATAGGATCTTTTCCAGCTCTGCAGTCCTAAGAGGATGATACATTTGTTTCTAGCTGTAAGATGAGTTGGACTGCAAATGTTGCTGGGCTGCAGCTTCTAGCTAGCCAACATAGACAGTGGTGAGGGATGAGAGGGTTTGTTATCCAGCAACATTTGGAGGGCATACCCATGCTCAGCTCTCCTCACTGCTGCTGTAGTATATACTGATTAAAAGTATGGGTTATCTCTCTCAAAGTTCCTGGTTTAAATAGTATGATAGTAATGAACACTTGAGGAGGTCTTAAACAAGCTATGATCAATATGAGCACCTTTCCTGTCTCCTACCCTGTCTGCAATAGGGTAATAATAGTAACATTAGAGGGCTACAGTACAGGGCTGTTTTAGGAATTGCTGAGGAGAGAATATATCTACCCCTTATGAACATGTTCAAGCACTAATTTATTAGCTAATTTATTATTGTTGTTACTGCTTTGATTGCAACTTGGGAGGGAATTATGAGTCTTAGCACTTGTAATAAACAGGAATTTAGGCCTGGTAGGTACTATCTAGGCTATGCCATTTCATACCACAGGTGGGTGCTTATAAAGTTGAATTTTCCTCTGGACCCTCTACAAAAGAAATCAGACTTAGCCTTCTCTCTAGCATGCTAATTATCTTGTTCTGGTAGTTTCTTGAGCATGGAGGAACATTTCGTAATGTGAGCCCCTCCCCACTTCCCACCTGAAATGCCACATCCTAGGCACCATTTTATCCGAGTCATGGTTGATTGGACCACAGTGGCCATTCTTAACAAGACTTGTTTAGAGAACCTACAAATTTCCTGATGGTGTCATGGAGATGACGGACTTCACCTCCTAGATTTGTTATGAAAGTCACTTGCTTTAAAGTCTTCTGCTCTGCTCTTAGTATTTGTCTCCTCTGGTTCTCTCCTCTTTTTACCTTCCTTATGTTTATTTTCATCCTTTCTCTCCACCTCACGCTCTCTCTGCAGATCACCTGACCCAAGCGCAGTACGACAGTTGGCCTCACTCCTATGTCTCGCAGGGCATGTACTGCCTAGGCTCATCTGATGCGTGGGAAACCAGTGACCAGTCCCTCATTGCTTCCCCTGCTACTGGTTCCTACGTTGGCCAGAACTTTGATGAATCCCAACCTAACTTGCAGGAAAGTGTTTTGATCCAGAACAACCTTATCCAGCAACACCAGTTGCTGCAGCTGCAACAACAGCAACTTCAACAGCAGCAGCAGCTTCAGCAGTTTCAGCAGCTTCAGCAGCAACAGCAGCAGCAGCAACAACAACAACAACAGCAACAGCAGCAGCAGCAACAGCAGCAGCAGCAGCAACAGCAGCAGCAACAGCAGCAGCAGCTGCAACAGGCCCTTCTCCCAGATACTGGCCTTGTAGACGTGTGGCCTGCTCAGACAGTTCCTAGTGGAGGCGGAAGTGGTGGCGGCGGCGGCGGCAGCAGCGGTGGCAGCGCTGAGTCCAGCACATTTGTAGGAGTTCACCCAGGGGAGGACGCAAATCCATTGGTGGAGAAGGCTCCCGTGTTGAACCAGAAGCCCTCGCCAGAGGAGGATGATGCTGTATGCAGGGACCTGGAGTCCCTTTCTCCCCGGGAGGAGCCAGAGCCTACTGCCCTTAGCCGCAAGGTCTCTGACGTTACCTCTTCTGGGGTGCAGTCATTTGATGAAGAGGAAGGCGAAGCCAACAACTGATGCTGCCACTGAGGAACGCTTTGCCCTTATGCATGGGAAACACGGGTGGGGAAAAGTGTTAGGGAAGTCCCTCTCCAGCTCCTAAATCTCCAGACACGCTAGCACACTTGTTTGTTTTTTTGATTTATGGGAAGGTAAGCCAAGGACCCAAAGTGCTAGGCTTTACTAAGTACCCTCCATCCTTCCTGCACATGTTGGACTGAACCTTTAAGACCTGTGGCCTTGGACACACAGGCCCAGGTTGCTCAGGGAAGGCGAGATGGTGGCATCACACAGACATTGTTGGTCATGGATACAGTTTGTGCTGGTAGCAAGAATCTGGATTTTGGGATAGAGATTCTGTCTCAGTGGCCAACTGAGAGGATGCTGCTACACACTGCTGCAGAGATCAAATGTAAGGTTATAGGGAAGTGTTTGCAATTGTGGCATGACAGAACAGGAGAAGTAAGAATGGAAGGAGTAGTAGCAAGCATGGCAGCCATAAGATGGCTTTGTCATAAAATCTGCTAATGAAAGAGAAATGCTATCAGAAATGAAGCTCTGCACTAGAAGCCTAGAGGACATAATGTGAAGGGAGAGTTTCTTTCGGTGCAGAGTATGCACTAAAATCGGGAGTGAGGTTCCTGTGGATACCAACCATCCTATAATGCAGACAGAGTTGCTCTGTAAGTCTAGTCCAAACCTAATTCTCCAGCACATATGCATTGACTGCTGCAGAAATCCTCCTTATGCACCCCATTCTCTCTGCCTGCCTGGGAGCTGGAGCGGGTTTTCTCCCCCATTTACTATTGGGCACTGCATGCAGGGTAGGGAAAGAGGGAGGGGGGTCATCTGCTAATCTTATATGTTATGCAGACACAGAGTCCTCTCTTTCCAGTTGTGTGCAAGGAAGACACGGAAAGCCAGCATCTATGGCTTCATATCACAGTTTCCCAGTTTACATTAGGGCCTTCATTATTACTTTTTCCTTAAATTTTTATATATCCAAGGGACAGTTATTTTAAGTAATGGCTAACAGAGGGAACAGTTTGGAGGCCAACCTAGTGTGAGGTAATATTCCTTTCCTAGGATCATTGGATCCTCTGTAGTGCCAAAATACTGATGAAGCAGTCACCAGGAAGAGGATGATTCTTCTCTCTTTCCATTAATGCCTGTCTTCTGCTCTTCCTTTAGTTCTTCTATTTTTTACCCATTGACCTATAAATATTCCTCAGGCCTCACTGTGGTCAAAAATGGGGAAAGGATAAGTGGATCGATTTTCTCATTTTGAGAGAGTTGTTTATTTTTTTTGTTTGTTTTTTATTGTTTGTATCAATAATGCCATGGCTTCTGGGCCTACACAGTTTGGTGCCTCTTGCTCCTTCACCATGGCAACCAAAGGGGGCTGCAGTAAAATAATAATCTTTTTTTAAATCCATTCCAACTCTCCAGCCTTCTGTGCAATATCAAAGGTGGGAGAATATAATGAGGTGGAATACTTACATTTGTCAGGGCAAGCCAAAAGCAGGTGGTTATTAGCAAGTGACAGGCAGTTAAGTGAACTAAACCTCTTGCCCAGAGGAGACTTTAAGGTTGCCAAATAGCTAGGCGCCTTCAGGAAATGGCCCTGTCTCCTCCTCTCTGGAAGTTACTTCTGCAAGCTTGATATGTTTTGTTAACCTGACATTTAGAGGTGCTTTGCCACTAATCCTATTTTCTGCGGAGCTGCTGCTGGCTACAAGATTGAGGAGTAAACCATACTGCTTTGCTTACCCAGACGTGGAGCCCTTCATGCAAGGAAAGAGACAGCATGTTGGGTCCACAATGTAAACTCGGATTCACCTTCAGATGCCATCACTAAGGGGAGAAGTAGCGGGACACTTCTGCCCCTGCGGTTTTAATGAAGAAGCAACAGAGAGCTTCAGTTCATGGATTTCAGAAGCCAGGAGGCTCTGTCTTCCCTTCTGCTGCACCTTCTTTGGACATGTTGTCATGACAAAGCTATCTGCCAAAGGTCAGGCAGAGGCAGTCACCACAGATGCATGAAAGATAAACCTGTTGTCAACCTTTTTCTTCCTTCTTTCCATTTCCTTCCTCTTCTGGGCTCCTCGAGTAGGGAGGCTGCTCAGATTCTGAGCACTGGGGAGCTAACCTCTCTTTCAAAAATATGTTTACACGCTATGGTGCCAGCCTCTAAAGGCTAAGAGGGTTGGATATAACACTGCTCTGAATATGAGGGTGGAACCTCATGTTCCTGTTTTTATCTTGGTTTCTGCATTCTGGCTGTCTGTAGCTTATGAGAGAATTCTTCTGGCAATGGTGTTGTATGAGGATGAAAAGTGCAGAGGGCTCTTCACTGGAAGGAAATGTTTAATGAGATTGTAGTCATCCCAACATAATTGAGCCTTCAGGGTAAGGTTAAAGTTATGAGATATTCCCAGTATTGTGATGGTTGGGGGTGTGCGTGTGTGGAGATTCAAGCAACCTGTTGCTTCTTTCCTCCAAACTGCTATGTTTCATGTGCCTCTCCAGGACCAGGAGTAAACCTGGATGTTTACGGTAATTATTTTCCAGTGTAAATATATCCAGCTTTCATCTTGGCAGTCTCTGGACTAGATACAGATAGCTCATCTTGTTTGGATCTGTTCTTCTACTGTCTTTCTTTTTTTAAGTTGCAAACAACTTGTGCATTTTATAATATCACATGTCACAAATGTTTGGGAGGTGTATTTTGCTTTTGACTGGGGGACAATGTAGAAGGACACATCACGTAAAAAAAAGGAAGAAACAACAAGGGAGAGAGGCAGATTAATTTTTATGGAGATAAGGGACAAATGTTATGAAATGATTCTGTGAAGTGAAATAGAGAATCACAATTTCACTGTGGAATTCTGCATCATTTTACTAGAAAATCGTATTAGACCATATTCCTTATCAAACCATTCAGTTACTGGGAGTAGTTTCTAAATAAACCACATTATTTCAGAACACTTAGGGCATGTCCAGACAGGCATTTGTCCCCCTTTTTGTTGCTTGGCTAGGGCAGATCAGTCCACTCTTTTTTCTGGCATCCACATGCCATGCAGACCAGTTTGCCCCCAGGGCACTCCAACCTGCAACCTTTTTTGCCCCTCTTAAGGCTGTCTGCTTTTTTGGTGAAGGTTAGTGTGCTCTAGTTTGGTCTGTTCCCAGCATGTGCAGTTTACACCACACCAACCTGCCCCCAAAAGGCCAGTCTAGACATGCCCATAAACTTCACTTACTTTTCTCACCTTTTAAAAAAATCCCTTTCCTTTGTCAATGATGGTGGTGGTGGTTCAGGTACCAATAGGGTTTATGAGTAGAGGGAGATTTCATAAGGGTTGAGGGGCTCCCTTTATTGCGTCAAACCTTTGTTGGTCTTTTTTTTGGGGGGGGAACACAACAGAAATCTTGTGGCACCTTAAAAGAGTAACTATACATATTGTGGCATAAACTGCTGTATAAGCACAATTCAAATGAATGGGGGCAACTTGAGAGTGATCCCTGACAGATTTGTCAAATTTTACCGTCAGCAGAGGGACTGTAGATATAAGCGCTGTTTAGATAAGCTGGAAGAACGCACAAGAACAGGGTTGTGTCTTTGGGTGTACATGACTGTCAGTAAATTCTTAGGTGAGGATGGCTGTTCTATGTTTGTCCAATAGAGACGCAGGAGGTATGAAGGGGGTAGTGAATCCACCCCCACTGCTACTACTTCTTCACTCTTCTTTCTTTCTGCTTTCTTCGTAACAGGATTTATTTCTCACTTTGGAGAGCTTGACTGGGAGAAAAGTGGCCCAGAGAGCAAGGCTGCACAATAAAGCTCTGTGTGTGTGTGTGTGTGTGTGTGTGATGGCCCAGAGAGCAAGGGTGCACAATAAAGCTCTGTGTGCGTGTGCGTGCGTGTGCATGCACATGTATATGTGTGTGATTCTCCCAGTTAGCATCAGATGGTTCCATGTTCCACTCCCGCCTCCTCAGCTGAGAATTGGTCTCCAGATCTGCTACTGAAGGGTTGCCAGAGTCTGAATACCCTGGCCTCATGGGTACTTCTCCCCAGAGAAAGCTCATACAAGGGGAGGAACCTTGAACCTTTACATCTTAGGAAGAGCAAGCATCTAAGGCACTGGCTGCCATGTTTACTGAATTCCAGTGGTTCTGAATAAATGTATGCACGTGCAGTAATGCTTTTGTATTTTGCTGTGGTGGAGCCTCAGTGCAGCGTACCTGCATTGCATCTGTACTGTGCATGCAGTTGTTCTCAGTTGCTTGGCCTCTTGTTAAATATATGCAGTGAGATTGACTGGGCTCCCAATGCCAGCTTGAAACCACACCGTTCAGGTACGCAATTCAGACATGACACGTGGCAAATGTATTGTGTGTCCCCATCTTGTGTCTCTATATTAATAGGCAATGGATTTCTAACTTGTGGGTGCTGAACATAATGAATGGCATTTAAGTTGCAAAGTGACATCAGTATAACTTAACTGTTGTGTGCTAATGTGTGAGATCATTGTTGCCAGGTGCCTGAAGACTTACGTGCATAATATTGGCCGCGCCACTCTTGTATATGGAGGGCTTTCCCTGAAATCTTTAGTAGTCAGTGTCTCATAATGCTGTGAGATCTGTCCCAGTATTCTCCTGACACACCTGTTTTCTGAAGTCATTTTTAACCCTCTGCTGCCACTTATTGGTGCCTTTGCACGAATGCAGCAATGCCAGGAGATAAAGCCTAGTGAACAAAGAATGACCAAACAGTTTGCTCTGATGCAGTATGAAGATGGTTGCCTGCCTGTCTATGTTCTAGCCAGCTTTATTCCAAAATTCCTTTGGGTTATTTTATAAAATTCACCTAAGCAAGCAGTTAAAAGATTTCCAAAGCGTTGTGAAGGGGACTACTCCATATGTAGTGTCACTGCAATGAGTGGGGTTGCTGACTCTCGATAAGTGAAGGACCGTGTTGGCAAAGCCAAGCAGAAAGGGGTGGCATGTTTCTGATCATGCAGAGTCTTGATGGGAGGCGGTGTTTTGCTGTTGGAGTAGCTCTAGGCTCCTGGCTTTCTTTAGGCATGATAAAATTGGGGGTGAGGAACTGAATTACCTCCAAAGGAAAGCAATACTGTACCATTCTGTCTTTGACATCTGAGGGCCAGGGTAAAAGTAATTTATTTCTGTGGAGTGGGGGGAGGGGAATCTGAATTAAATCAGGGTGGGATGGGAGCAGTGATTGACTTGCCCTGTGAAACCGGTCAGTTAAATTGACCCATCTATATACTCTTTCCTTGGTGAGAGAAGATGCTACCAATCAATAAGGTGATTTTTCCTTTTTGAAGCAACCAGCAGGCTATGGGAAGGAGTTAAGCACCTCCGAGGGTTCTAGTCACTTTCAAACTATTCTGTAAATGCACTAGTTTTGGTTTTTCTTTTCATTTGCTTTTGGCATTTTACCAAGTTTGGGTCTGTCTGCAGGAAACCCTTCATTCTCCATTTCTTATCAGAGACTGTGTGGTTGAGTAGCTTGACATCATCTGTTTTGTCTTGTGAAGAGCAAGTAGCTGAACCAAGGCACTGCTGTTTCCTGCCAATAGTGGACAGGTGCAAGCCAAGGTGACTGGAAACCTCATGAATACCTCAATCCATAGACTTCTCCCCAGAGTTCTTACGGCACTTCATATCCAGTCTCTCTCTCTTAATGTATCTTATTTGGACATTTTAGAAGAGGCAACCGTGTTAGTCTGTGCTAGCATACCAGGCAAAAAACAAAACAAAAAACAAAAACAAAAGAAAAAGAAGACAAAAATGTTGTGGCACCTTAAAAACTACGGTAACTGCCATATTTTAATGTGAGCTTCTGTGGACAAGTGGATACGAAACCTCGCATGAAAATATGCCAGTTAGTCTTCTATACATTTTTGTCTTTCTTTTTTCTTTTTCTTTTGTTTTTGCCTTATTTGGATGTGTATATCCTGCCTTTCAACAGCATTTCACTGTGGCTGACATGGTTAAAGGATACAAGGAAAATGAAATGTGTTTTTGAGAAAAGTCGGCTTCCCAGGCTTGGCTGGATCAATAGGGTTGAGCACAAATAGGCGCTGTGAGCATGGCCGTTTCTTCCTTTGGTCCAGCTGCAATGTTTAGCCCTGTGGATGCTACTGTGCTTGAAATGGTGGCACAAAATCATGGACGCTTAGCGTGCCATCTCATTTCTTGTCAATGAACATAACTGAGTTTGGTCTAATTTAAATCAAAAACATCCCTCCTCCTTTTTCATCCTTTCCTCTCAATTCAGGATTGCTCATAATGCTGAGCAACCATCCTGAGTAAGTGGGGAAAGTGGCATATTGCTTCTACTTAGTGGCTAATGAGGGTGACTGCTGAAAACTGAGATGTTTCTTGCACTTTAAAAAAAATTTACTTGTGAGCCACATTGAGTCCTTTAATGAGGAGAAGGGCAGCATGCAAATGAAAATTGAAACAAAAATTCCATTAAAATAACCAAGATAATGTAAGAGCATAGTGGTACCTGCACGCACCTATGTTTTTCTAATAGATTGTGTCCAGTGTTAATTTAATAGAAAGATGCCACTTGCATTTTTCCACTGCATAAACCAAAGTATCTTGGACAGATCCAGTAAATGCAAAATATTGTCCCACAGGGGTTAGAAAGACATCCCCCCAAAGAGTTGTTTCCATAAAGCAAGAGAGCTAGGCATATGAATAGCTGCTATGTCCCATAGGTATGTGTATTGTGGGCCGTTTCACCACAAGAAAGACTAATCTTGAGGTTGGATTTCAATCTTGGATTTCAATCTGGTTTGGATTTCAATCTAGTTTCCTTAGTTAAGAGGAAACCCCAATGAACTCAGCTGGACTTACCTTTGGGTAACTGTTGGTTCCTCTTGAAAGCAGGGTACAAAATATATAATGAAAATGAATGGCCAAGTATATGTGTAGGATTTTTTTTATTAGTTCGTTACTCTCCCTTTTGGTGTTTTTGTGAAAGCAAAATTAGTCCCTCTACATCTGTCACGGGGGGTAGGGAAAATGAAACCCCAATGCTGTTTCTCCCAACTTTTTTGCTGGCAAAAAAGGGAGTAAATAGAAGTCCTTGGAGACTGCTAGGAGAGGGGGTTCAACTTTTAAATAGCTCATCAGTATCCTCTGCACTATTTACCTCTCTCAAACGCCCATTTTCTAGAACTGGGGATATCTATGGTACACGGAACTGGAGCATCTTAAGGACCCGGGGGGGGGATCCACCCAGAACTGGCAGAGTTGCCCACCCCCATCAAATAAGAAGTAGATGCCCACACTAGATAATTTTGTATCTGTGAAACAAATATGTGATAAGGAGGCAGATGGAAGTGGGTGGTTTGGTGGCTATTTTTAAAAAAGATTATTTTTACCCATATTCCACTTTAAACAATGGCTTTTTATCATATCAGCTCTGGCACCAGATTGCTTGTTGCGGTTGTTGTGAGCTTAATGGTGTGCTTTAATGACAGGGAATTAACTGAATGTCTTATTTTCTGTACATGAGAACAGTGCAAAAGTCAAGGCTACTGTATCTGGAACAATCACTGACACAAGCCCTTAATTATGTTTACATTTATGTAAAAACCAATAAAAGAGTCTGTAGGCAAGTTTTAAGTGGTCAGAATCTTATTGGTAAATAACAACAGTCTTAACTGCAGTGGCCTATTGATTTTCATTCATATATTGCTATGTGTATCCTATGTTGTGTACCAGTCACATAAATTGGTGTGCCTGGAGGGATTGATGGGGCAACTTTTCAGCCAGCAGCCCTGTGCCACTGCGGTTTATACTGCTGTATTTATGTCAGCATAGCTAATCATATTCTAACAATTGCCCATATGGCCAACAAAAAGAATGAGAGCTGGAAAATTACTTTAGAAAGCAGAAAGTTACCGGGGGGGGGGGGCAAAAATAGTTAACATTATAGTTAACATTTGTTATTTCTTCAAAAAAGAAAGAAAGAAGAAAGCCACCATTTTTATTTCTTGTAAACGGAAAGCTGAAAGCTGCTGGCCCTTGGTACAAATTGTGCTCTTCTCCTGTCTACTTCATCATCACCTGCCACAGAACAGGAGGCAGTGGCATGAGGCAGCAACACAAGGTACCGCATGGACTGGATGTTGAGCAGTGTGTAATGCCTTTCCCACCATTTTAGTGTTTGCACCTCTTGACACTATAAAAGCAATTTAAAAGTTACAGGTACATAGGAAGAGAAATTAAATTATCCAGTGTTAAAATTGCAAATGCAGTGGTCCTTCTGAGAAGAAAGGCAGGGTAAAAATATTTTAAATCAATAAACAATAAATAAATTGCAAGCCCCCCCCCCCGGCTAATTGCAAGTAAGTACTTACTTGTTATTTTCTCCTCTGGAGAAAATTAATGTGTAGAATGCACCATGTCCTGTCTATGCAAGAGGTATGTGTATTTATTGCTGACATAACTCATGGGTTAGGGTGCAGGCTTAGTTCAAAATAATCCATGGGAAGGTTAAAGTGGGAAAGCAAATGGAGGTGGGAGGAATTTTGTCAGTTGCCATCCCCACCCCACCTGATTTTTCACTGATTATTTTTCTCTTTGACGGTCACTACATCTGGCCTTATAAACGCAAGAAGAAAAACAGCAGGACACATTCATTCAAATAGAGGGCAACAGTGGAAAGATTTCATTCTTTGTTAACTGCTTCTCTGCGTGTTCATGGCAGCCCTACTTTACACGAATTTGTGTAGCAAACCAATTTGTAGTACATTTGGTCAGTACACTGCTGTCTAGTGTACTTAGCCCTTCTGGCCTAGATGTCAGTGCACGGGTCTCCATCTGAGCCAGGCTGTTTGTAGGGGTTCATGTGTTGGATGTGTCTCCCATCTGAGTCATGTTACTTCAGGCTGTTTGTAGGGGTTCATGTGTTGGAATGCTCCTCTGAACAAACCCGTTCTCTGCCTGTAGAACATTAGACATGATGTGAGATTGCCGCCTCAGTGGCATACCGTTCCCTGAGTTTTGGTAACTCAGTTCCCTGATATGTGGTAACTCTGGATGACTGGGGTGTGGAGGCTGGAAATGTTCTCTCTAATCTGTTTTCTGTATGCGGTAAAGTTTTTGTGCAGAAGAGCATTCTAGTCACATATGCTGCAGATGCTGCCTGAAGAGGTACAGCCCATAACTATGTTGGCCATCTCAGTGGTTAAAAAAAGTCCAATTGTAGGCACTCCATGGAATCCATTGCACCTCCTCCTCACAGGTTTCAGCCCTATGTTGCCTGCAGCTGTTGCTTTTGACTGTATGCCATGCTTTCCCATGGGATTTTTCAGTTTCTTTTTCTCTGAAGATCAACAACCACTTATGTCTGGGTTTTATCTGTCTGGGCAATCGGAGAGCCTTGGGCATAATTTACTCTGCTTTCTACTGTTGTTTCCAGGCTGTGGGGAAGAGACAGATTTTCCCCCCTGTCTGAATATAATCTAGTATTCTTCAATATTTCTCTGGCTTATTTGGTGCTGCGTATAAAATGGTGGTATCACCTAAGAATGCATAGAGTCCCCCAAGCTACAACATGAGCACCATATTTAATAAATAAATTTTGCAATCTGCAGTACTTTTTTAAAAATTATTTTTCAGGAGTGGTGTGCTTAGGACAGAGAAAGGGGGTTACTCAAAATACAGGAATATTATACGAAAGAGCCATATGGACTGGAATAATGAAACATATTTAAAACTAACCAAAGGTTGAAGGCATATGGCTTGGGGTTTTGTTTTTAGGTTTTTTTAAGCTACACCCAACTGCTTTAGCATAATGAGAAGAGTATCAAGACCTTTCTTTACTCTTAAGTTTCTGAACAAGGGATGGAACTTAGATTCTTCCCATCCTTAAAGGATGGCATTTATTGAGGTCTATGACTTTTCAGGGAGAAAGGAGGGAGTGGGGAAAGAGCAGGCCAAGATGTGAGCCTAACCCTCTCACCTTCTTCTGTCCTGGGGCACCCTAACAGAGGAAAACAGGAAAGAAAACATATTTGCCTTTGGTCTTCCAGCTCCAAAACGTTGTTGCTTGAAACTTTTCTGCTGGTTATTCTGCGCATGTTTTGATAATGTGACTTATGAAAATATATCTTCTATAATATATATATATATATGTACACACACACCATATATATAAATGAATATATATATATGTAACTATACTTATAGATAAAAAAAAATTATATGGCATTTCATGCCTGGTCATGGTAAAAGTCACTAAAAGAAAAAGGGAGCATCGCCACAAAGGGGCATGTAAGAAACTTATGAAGTTTATTGTTATTAAACAGCACGTGGTTTTGCCATTGTGGTTGGTGGAATTGTGTTTCATTTCTACCGGTAGGTTTTACTTGACGTTATTTATGTGTGTGCTAAAAAGGAGATCAAAGTGTTAGGCCAGTGAATGAGAGAAAAAGACTGGGTCTCAAAAGGCATCTGAAAGTATATCCATGCTCTTCACAAAATGACTCATTTTGCAAAGACAAAGCATTTGCGTTCTTCACCAGATGAGAAATGGGATTGTAATGTACACAGCCTTCAGAGTTAGTGTGAAGTAATAGCTGGCACATATTTAAATGGCAAAAGGGCAGCCAGTTGGGAGCCAAATGAGCATATTTATAAAAGCACAGTTGCCAATTAAAACAGCAGCCAGGCATATAGGTCTGTCATCATGGGTAGAATTTACTACATGTCAGAATGTGACCCCATTACCCAGCCAGCATCAGCCAGCTAGGTAGGAGCAGAAAATGTAATGCTGACATAAGTCTATTAGATTGTATGAAAGGAGGTTGGAAAACAGATCCATGACTGCCATTTTTGGTAGACAGTACATGTTTACAATCAGAGGTGTGCATTTGGGACCTTGGTTTAATAAACCTCTTAAACATCTTCATTAGCCATACAACTATATACTTCAAAAAGGCAACATTTGGTATTTCTGTTCTTTAGAGACACCCCACTGACATTTTAAGATGGGGAAAGTCTCCCCCCCTGGCTTCGCTGCTTTCTTCTTACGCCATGAAGTTTAAGGAGATGATTTTCAAACATTGCCTGTACTAGTGAGAGGTGATGTGATTTGTTGCAAGCCTTTTTGGCTACACAGCTTTGTGCCTGGGGTAACCACCCTTGTCTCTTTCCTTCCACTTGCAAGAAGACTGTTGGGGCCAGGAAGGTAGGGAATGAAAGGAATCTATACAAGAACATGGAACAACCCAGGAGTACCCTCTGGAGTAAACACGGACGAGGTCAGAAGCAGAACAATGGGAGGTGGCAAGCTTCAAGGGACACAATACTGTTGCATCCTACTCTAAGCCTCCAAGTCTGAAGACAGAGACGATTATCCTGTTCAAGGATAAGAAGAATTTATCCCACCGGCTCTTCCAAGAACACTTTGACAGGTACTTTCTGTACCTTTTGGTACAATTCAAGGAATACCATCTGGTGAAACTGTTGGTCTAGAATGACAGAAAAAGAATAGAAGCTGAATTCAGACAAAGTTAGATCTGTGACAGATTGTTCGAAATAGAAGAAAATAATGTGCCTGCTTATTCTTATGTGCAAGGAGAGAGAGAGAGAGATAAAAAGCAATATGCTAAAGTACAAACTATAAAATTTTATTAAATTCCGCTGCTTAAAAATAAGGCCTAATTGGCATGTTGGTGAATAGCTGGGTTGTGCTAGGTCAGACTTCAAATAGATGCTTGCATGATTGAATGGTCTTCCATGGCAAACAATGCTTCCACATAAAAAAAACTAGATGATAGGGAACGAAGAGTGTATGTCAGCCTTCTCTACTGCATTGTGATTTTCTAAAGGTACATTCAGTGATAGAATCCCCCAATTGCCATCTAAAGTGCTATGATCTGAAAATGGGCTGCACCACCTAGTAAGAACTAGACTATATTCTATAAAGTTGAAAAAAAGTTGCGAGTGAAGTAATTATATTGACCAACTGGTTTCTTAAATCATGTGTATTAATACATATTTTCTATGTATTATAGCTTGGATGTACATTTTGGCAATATTTCTGTTTAATGGGTTAGAATGGTGTCCATTGGGAATTGTGTACATCAAAGTGTTCAAACCCAGAATGGTTGATCTTTGCAAAATGCATGAAAAGCTTGATGGTCTAATGAATGGAAGCCTAGTAAAGTCCCCAGAAATCCCACAGAGCTCAGTGTTTGAGGTGATAGCCTCGTTTGTCCTATAATAGTCAATCTATGGCTGTGCCATTTTAGGTTGCCCAAGGGAGATCCTGTGACTAACTGTCCTTCCCTAGAAGAACAAAAAAATTCTCTTCACATATAATGGCGGGCATGCCAGAAAATGTCTGCCTGACTTTTAGTCTTTTATGTACAGGACTTGGTGTGTTTGTTTTCTTTTTGTTTTGGAGAAACATTTGGCGACAAAATTCTGTAGTTGAAATGCTGGCACAGCTTTACCTCCTCAGTGAGAACACAGCTTTTAAGGCCAGAGCAATCCGTGCAGGAAATATGCTGTAGCATATTTTAACCTTTCATGCCTTATATTCCATCAATCATTCTGAGAACTTGGGTCTCACCATGATACCTTTCTGATACATAATTTATATGTTTCACAGGCATTGTGTTATGTGTATCATGTATGGCACATTTTGAAGATAATAAACTTGCAGTGATATTGTTGGGAATAAACATGCAGAGAAATAGAATAATTCCCCTAGGAGAAGGGTCAGTAATCTCCTGAGATCCTTTGTAAAATGCTATGAGGATTGAGAGTGTGTGACCGCTTAGTAATTGTTATGAAAACTTAATGCCCCACCTAGACTTTTTCTGCATCTAGCTGGTGGAACACACATCAATGTTTGCCGATCACTGTGCTAACAATTTTGGAAGACAGAATGAGCAGCAGAAGCTGCAGAAGAAAATTTGTTACTGCTTTGCCATTTTTATAGCTTGACTGCATGCAGACACCCTTGTCTTTCTCTCTCTACCTTTAAAATTATAGACCTTCGGAAAAATATATGGCTAACAGAACCATAACACAGTGTTCTGCAACAGCTGATCTGTCCATTTTGGGCTAAAAAAAAGAAAAAGGAAGAGACAAGATAGCCCTTGAATTGTAGAAATGTCTGCTGATACCAATTCAGAATCACACACACCAGACATCTATATTAATACCGTTTGAAAACCATTTCCGCAATAGTGATGGATTTATAAATACAGTACTGTACTAGAATCTCTATTCTGTTCATGCACCTTTCATATACATGTGGGTGTGCCATCAAAAGATGCAGTTGGTTTCGTGTTGTTTATCCAGAGCATGCTCTTTAGGGCATGACAGACAGAAATGCAGTAGATGATATTTTCTTCCATTACAAGGAAGTGATGGTGGGAAAAGCTTTGACTGGTATCCTCTTGTTCATGCACTGAACAGAAAGTCCTCCCAGCATACTGATCCAGGTTTTCACTGCTTGCAGAATTGCTGCTGTGAAAGCAGAAGGCAGATTTTCTTAATGGAGATCCCTGCCAGTGCAATGGCAACACTGTCAGAAGCAACGACATATTGCATTATTTCTACTAGTGTTCTCAGTATTATCTTCCTTTTGTCCTGGTGATTTCTACTTGCTTCATTTTCTTTTCTATACAGAACAGAGGTTGGAGAATTTAGGGGACCTTTAGTAATGGGTTTTTAACCATTTTTATTCAGGCAAGACCAGCTTAGCAGAGAAGCATTTTTAAAATCTAGTCTAGTGGTATTGCTCTGCCTAAACCAAGAAACCCCCTCAAAAATCCTTGTATAGACTCTTCTCAATCCAGCAGGGAGAATTCTGCTCAGGGGTTGGCACCTAAATAATGTAGATGCCTATAATGAGTGTGATTGGAGACACAAGCTCTTGATTTGAAAGGAAGCTTGAGTGCATTACTGGGAACACTTCAGTAGATGTTGCAAGGCTTAAGCCAAAGGCAGGGACCTTTCTGTGCCTTGGTTTGTTTGTTTGTTTGTTTTTTGCATGGGAAATATCTGCATTACATATGTAGACTGGAAAAAAAACCATGCACTTAAATTTGCCTTGGGCAGTGTAGTTTCTATAAAAGGATGGTAGAATTTTAAAAAACAGAATGTTCAGTACCCCCTCACTAAACTAAGTTTCCTTGTGGGGAAGACAAGATTGTTACACTGGTACAAAACATACATGCAACTATAATATAAATGGGATTTTGAAAACAGCAGCTCCTCTATATTTCCCTGGTGTCACCCCTTACTACAGTTGTTTTCTTCTGAGGATTTATTGGCCAATATTTGCACATACAGCAGAGCGCCAAATGCACAGGGTGCCGCAACAATCTGATAATGTGCCGGTGCTGTGTGGCCAGACACACAACCAGCACTTTATCAGATCACCATAGCAGCTTCCACAGCTGGAATTCGACACGTGTAAAAGACTTACTGGCCCTTATGTTAAGACAACAGTTTTGTACAGATTTTCATGATATAGTTGTAAAGACGGTTAAATGTGAACATTTAAGACTTCGGCAAAGTATTTTGGTAAATTACAGTCTTAATTAAACTCTTGAGTAAGTATAGCCACATTCAAACTCTTGAATAGAGGCACCTTTCTAGTTTTGTTACCTTGCATGTAATCTTCAGATAAGCAGTAGCATCCTGATTCAGCTGGGGCTACTCCGTGTACCATTGAAGACCTCTTTGGTAGGAACACGCGTGCAGCTTTGCACAATACATATGGTTCTTCTTTCAGATACAGAGGCTGGCCTTACACATGCAGAGACTAGTGGCTGCTTAGGGGTCTGGATTCATCCTCTTCACTCCAGTCAACCTCTTAGTGTCCAAAACCCAACAATTTGGCTTTTTAAAAGCCATTGCAAATGAAACACTGGTTGCTCATTGTGTTGGCCCAGGATTGTGAGGCTTCTGTTTTCATATCTCAAGAGTTCAAATACACAGATCAAATAGTACAGACTGCCTTTATTGTTCAGCCCATTACTGCCTTCCTTACTGCACTGTTTAATTTTTTTAATGGGTGGGGCAGAGATATTGCCCACAATACAGAATGAGTCCTGTAGTCTTTTTTAAAAAAATTTGTAGCCAACAACATATATTTGTGGAAGACTTCAGAATGGAGGATTTCTGGATTGGAATCCAGTAATAGGATGGGTCTGGTGGATCACAGAATGAACAGAAAGGTTAAGACTATAGTTAAAAGTGGAGAGGGACTTAATTTCACACTTAAAACAAGGGGTGGTGGTTATTCTGCAAGAAAGGGCACTGCAAGAATGAAAATAACCCCTCATACAATAAACCCTTGTTTTCTTGATCTGGACCTGTTCAAACATTGGGCTGGATTCTCTCTATTGCTAGGCTGATCTTAGGTTAAATCTGTCATCTGCTCCCTCTACAGAGCCATGTTTGATTAAATTAGGTGATTAAAATGGTGCCATGGCAGGCTGGTGGGTGACAGGAGAAGGACGAAGAGCAGGAGGTTTATTTTAATAACAGGTTGCTGCACAGTCTGTGATTGAAATGTGCCTGTAGTAAATGGAGCATTATGGCACTTGCTGGCCACAGTTGTCAGACGAGAATAAAACCAGTTCTTTGACTCTGTTGGGCTCCATATACCCCACCACTGATGGTAGCAGAAGGGAAAACAAGTCCAGTGAGCCAAGGCTCTCCAGCATGGATTAAGTACCATCCGTTGGTGCCAGAAGGGCAGACCACAGCCTCTCCTTACAGCACAAGTATGGCAGGAATACCCTGTTGACAAGTCCAGAGGGATCATTTTTTGTATAATTATAGTGGGACATAGTCATCGTCATCATCCTCATCCTCATCCACGTCTGTAGAGCGCAGGTTGAGATCCTTGAGGATGTCTGAGATGTTCTCAGCAGCAGGGCCAGAAAGCTCAATTTCTTCCAGTTCCGCATCAGCCACTGAGGTGGAGCGTGCCCGTTTTCCTTCACTGGGGTTGGGAGACGGTTTCAGGGGAGGAGCTCCGGGAGACATTGTGTTCTCTGTCCCCGAGTCTCCCACGGGCCCCTCAGGTACTGCACCGCTGTTCTGCTTGCTCCACGTCTGTGTGGCCCATTTGGACTGCCCTTTGTTCCTCGTCGTGTCACGAAAGCTTGCAAGGGGAGGACGAAGATGGACACCAGACTGTGTGGAACCCTCAATTGCTTTCTGGAGCTAAGAGTTTTAGAAACAAGGAATTAACAAGACCGCTGATCTGATGCTATCTCTTGCCCCCTCCCTCCACAAACATTTAAGAGACAGGAAGGATCACACTGTGCTTCTGGTTGTGCAGATATGGTCTTTTCTGAGGCAGAAAAATGCTTAAAAGAGGCAGGCACCGAACGCAGTACCTCATCTCAACACCACACAGGCAACTGGTTTAACAATTGCTCTTTCACCTTAGGCAGAACCCCGGGAATGGTGAGTTCTGCACAAGGCTTAACCAACCTACCACAAAGCATTTTGATTAAATGATTCCCTCACCAAGCTAGAGCACCCATGATTCTTTGGACCTGATCCACTGAGGCATCATCATTAGTGAAGCATGAATTAGAGGACTGAAAAGGGGATTAGTGCTTTTGAAAATAAACACTAATCACACTGTCATCTCTGGTAAACACATTTTGCAAGTTGCAGCATTGTTTAAAAAACATGCAGAACATTGAGAAATATACAATGAGATGAAAAACATGTGTCTGCTCACAAAGGACAGGGCTACTTCTATCAATGGCCTTCAAGCATGATGGCAGATGATACTGGCAGTGGCACAGTAGGCAATCCTAAATTTATTTATATCCAAATATGCACACAGGCATTTTCACAGAGCAGCATGAAGAGAAGCATTCACCCATACATGTAGGGTTTTCACTCTTGAGAGTCTCTTCCTCTTCATTTAGTCCACAACTCAGCTGAGGAGCAGAAATTAAAAACACTCCTATCTGCTTATGTTCCCCATCCCTGATATCAAAGCTGGACAGATGACTTAGGGTGCAGTCACTCGTGCCAGAAGAATCCCAGTTATATTGATTCTGCCATTATTTGAATCACCTTATAAATATCCATTTGCACAATGCAGAGGTGTTTTTCCCCATCTCAATGGCAGAGCCTTTTAAAAATGATCAGATCCCTGTATCACTCTAATCCTTACCATTTTAGCCGGTGTGAACACTGCTGTCAATTTAGTTACTTTACAAATGGTCTGGGGTTTTGGGTGCCATGGCATGGACACTGTGCTTTTACCCTTAATTAAAAAAATACTTAGTGATAAATTGCTTATTTTTTTCTTTTAAATTTTTTTCCACAACAGGTTTTACCAATGTATCACTTAGCTGGTTTCTTCCCTATTATAATAGTAATCAGTGCTTTTGTGTGGTTTATAGTTAATTTTTCCACCCCAGCTTTTCAACAACAATTCAAGTCCTTTTCACAAATATGAATATTGTTTTATAGCCAGTCGGGCTATACACAAAAGCATAGATTAATGCTGCCCTACATTTATCAAGTAACATATCCCACCAGGTGGCACATCGACTAACAGCTGGAAGTGACAGGAAAATGACATGCATATGCTGCTTTGGTGATAGATAATGAATTATTTTTTTAAGAAAATTCTAGGGCAGTGGGGACCCAGAAACAGGATGGAAAATTAATCAATTTATATGAGAGGGCACATGTAGGCTACAGAACTGGTACAAATAGTAAAAAATGTACCAATTGAACTGACAGCCATGTGAACGGGCCCAGCAGTATATTTAAAGGTAAAGGTTCCCCTTGACATTTAGTCCAGTTGTGTCCGACTCTAGGGCGTGTGCTCGTCCCCATCTCCAAGCCGTAGAGCCAGCGTTTGTCCAAAGACAGTTTCCGTGGTCACGTGGCCAGTGCGACTAGACACGGAATGCTATTACCTTCCCACTGTGGTGGTACCTATTTATCTACTCACATTTACATGCTTGCGAATTGCTAGGTTGGCAGGAGCTATATATAGCACATGACTATACAAATATACAGATATAAAGGAGGAAAAAGAAATGATTCCAGTGGTCCGTGTGATTAGCTCCTTACATTCATTCCCTCCTTTTCTTTCTCTCTCCCCATCACTGTAAGGGGGACAGAGTATTCACACAGAAGCTGAGGTAAGCTAGTGGGAACACCGGATCCCCCGGGAGCGGGGGGGGGGGGGGGGCTGATGAGACTGAGGATTGGCCTGAAGAGTGAAATATGGTATTGCCCTGTTTCCCCTCCCTGGACCAGCTGGTGCTAACTTTTATTTAAAAACCTCTTTTCTCAAAGCAAACCCAAACTACTCTCCAGTCTTGCCTGGTGAAAGTGCAGATTTTACTGCTTCGGAAGCAAGCAAGCGCTAACTAGCTAAAGCACTCTTTTGAACAGAGCACCGAATTTCAGTGTGTAATGGCAGAGATATCAAGGTAGCAAAGGCCTCATTTACCTCTTCCAGGGCAATCACGCCTCTCAGCTTCCCCATACTGGTTACATAGGCATGGCTGAGTCCCAGCAAGGAGAACAAGGTATGTGTCTGTGGGAGTGAGAGAAGAGAGTTTCCATCAGTGAGGAAAGAGAACAGGCTACCTTTTGCTTACAGAGAATGTGAGGCAGATGGGTGGCTGACTTTTTGCACCTGAGCCAAGTAAAGGAAATTCAGAGCCAGAAAAGAAAAAAGGAGCTCTTCATGCCTTGGATTTTCAGAAACTGAGGTAAGGATCTTACCCACCAAATAATACAATGCCTTATTTTGCTGGAATTGAGAAAAAAGTGCAGCAAGTCAGCTGATTTTAGGTTACATAACAATCCATGATAAATACTAATGAACCCTAGGTTATGTTTCCTTGTGAACAAAGCTGATTTGTTCTGCAAGGAAAAAAGCAAGGAAAAGGCAGTGCAGTCCCTAAGATTACACAAATATAAAAGAGGGTCACCAAAACAATAATAATCAAACTGCAAGTTTTTGTGGAGGAATCCCACTTCATCAGGATGAGCACAACCCCGTCATGGATAGTGCAGCAAAATGGTAGACAGGAGTCCCCTTCACGAGCCATCCAGTTCAGCTCAGCCAACTTCCATGTGCTGGTTTGGCCAGGTGCTCAACAACATTTTGGTTTTGCAATTCCGGGCAGGCAACAAAAGCTAGCAAGTGGTGGTCAGCTTTATGAGCCCTACGTAAACGTTAGCTAACTACGTGTTTCAACAGATAAATATTTTAATTCCATTTATGCTTGTCTTAGAAGTGAGCCCGGGTGTATTCAGCAGGCTTTACTTCTGCAGTAGATCTTACTTGTCACAAGTTTGACTTTTGCATTGGACTGCACTGTGAATTTTCTAACTAATTGCTCTAAAATAAAATATAACCTTTGCTCTAAAATAAAATATAACCTGCACAAGTCTTTGCTGGCAGCACATTAGAAAAGACCAAGGCTTTTCCTCTTGTGGGACAGATAAATGGGGTGGAGAGGGTTAGTTCTGCTATTGTGAAGCCCGCCTTCCTTTTGTGCAAGACATTTTAAAAACTGTTACTTATATAGTTACCTAATAAATTAGGGGCAGAATATAAGATCTTGAACTGAGCGATCCACTAAATATTGCCATCCAAGTAAACCATTGTGAAAGCTCCTATATTTATGGATGTGTCATGTTCACAAAAAGAACTGCTATGATGAATTTCTACTGCCTATACTTGGGGCACCTCCACCTAACAACAAATTTGTCACAATGTCCTGCACAGTAATTCCTTCGTACTTTCATAAATCTGCTCTTCCTAGACCAGGCATGGTCTTACCTTTTGGGCAGGCGGGTCACCCCCCCAAATACCACCCCCCAATCAGCAAAGGTGGCCGTATAAGGTGTATTTAGATGCAAGGGAGAAGATTGGGTAGCCAGCCAGTTACATTTGGTTGCTCCTGTCTCTGGTGATCCCATCCTCTGCCCCAGGTATTTTAGAGTTGTTGCCAGGGTCAGCTGAGCTGACTCTTAACTCTGAATCAACTCTGAAATGATGGCATCCATTTTCTAACAAGTGTTACTCTGTTATTTTAATGCACCTTTTGATGGGATACGGAAGAACCACAGTATCTACAGGGGATCGGCTCCAAGCACAACCCCCATGGATGCCAAAACAAAAACAAAAAAACAACAACCCACAACTATAGAAGAACACTATACAGTACTGTACATTGTATGGTCTTGGGCTTCCCCTCATGGCCAGTTCTGGTAAATACATTCTGAATATATATATATATATATATGCATATTTTGGTTTTTTTTAAATTTCTTATCTTCAGGCAGCGGGTAAGTGAATCATTGGATAGTGATCCTGTGGATGGGGATTTCTACTGTATGGCATTTCCCCACCTGGTCTATGAACCATTCCTGCTGTCTGGTAGGAGAGGGTGGTAATGCAGATGCTAGGACCTATTCTCTCTTGGCACTAAGACGATAACATTTTTTAACTTTTAAGTTTGCCCTTAATGGTGTTAAGGGCAAATTCTCTAGCCACAGCACATTCTCTAGCCACCTAGTGTTTGGACCTGATTCTGCTCTTGCAAAGCAGCATCCAGAGAGGGCAATCCACAGAGAAGTAATGGTTGATGTGTGTGTGTGTTTGTGCTAGGTAAAGGATAGATCTGGTGGAGAAGAGGGGAAATGAGTTAGATAAGAGAACTGCAGAGATACCTTATAAAGAAAGGGTTTAGGACAAGTCTACAAAACATATGGGCACAGTTCACCAAATTTGACTGTCAGCCCATGAAAAGGTCCAATCAGACAGCACTTTATCTTGCATTTTGGACCCCTTTAGGAACAGGCTGGTTTGCTTCATTTTCCAGCAACCACATAACATACAGCAATCACAAACCCGCCCAAGTTTTTGACCATGCCTATCTGCACCTTTTTTGGTTCCTGGGAAGGCCCCTTTATTTATTTAATTTATTTAATTCATTCATTCATTCATTCATTTAAGCATGGGTAGTATGGCTCCATTTTAATGTGCCATCACCGGTGTTGAACCCAAACAGCACTGGGAGCTGCTTCCCCCAACAATGCAGTGCTGCGTCACTTGGGTGGCAAACCAATAAATGGGAGGGGGGAATCCCACTGTCCCCTGCGATGGGGAAGACAGGAGAGGATGTGGAGAACAACTTTCCCCCCCCTTTTTTACAATCTACCTCTGTTTTACTTGGGTGGCAGACCAATGAAGTAATATGTAACTTACCAATATTTTTTAAAAATAGTAAAATCCAGCTTCCCCATACTCTTCATGGTGGGGAGTCAGAAAAGGAAGTGGAAAGGAATATCTTTTTTGTTCTTTTCCTTTACAACCCAGTGCTGTTTTACTTTGGTGGTAAGACAATGCAATGATGTGCCACTTACCAATAAACAGTTAAAAAGACCATCTTTCCCCTGCTCCCTATGGAGGGGGAGACAGAGGAGAATATGGAGGCTGGGAGGAAAGATTGGGCTGAATATGGCTGCTTTGAGGTGTGGTCCAGAAATCATCCAATCCTTGTGTGTGAATACAAGGATTGTTCTAAATCTCAGACTGCATTTTCAGGCAACTCTGTTTAGCCTGATTCAACCCGGGATAGCTTCAGTATCTAGCTGCACCCAATTTTTCACAAAGCCTCCCCTTTCTGGTACCTTCCTGAAACTGCAACATTGAAGAGAAGAGAGTTATGAGGCCTCTTTCAGACAACAACAGGGCTGGTGACTGTATGTTTTCAGTAAGCCACAGAGATGAGGGGCCAGACCCTGATCAGGAGAAGGGACAGCAAGCGAGGATGATGTCTTCCAAAGAGAGAGACTCACCTTGTGCAGAGATGTCCTCTCCACCACCTGAAAGGGGGAGGGGTCGATGCGGCAGCTGTCAAAGCACACGTCTTGGTCTAGCTCCTGCTGCTCCCAAGCTTCTATCTGACACAAGGAAAGAAGGGTTCACATACGCAGTTTGTGCATCAACCTCTACTCTCCTGCTGCTGCTTTTGTCCTGTGGACCATGCATGCCTTGTCCTTCCTGGGCCATTCTGGACAGATCCCCGAAAGTCTTACAGCATTCAACATTCTAGTACAGGGGTGGGCATCTGATGAGGGATGAGGAGAGTTATAGTTCTATCTTTATCTGAATGGTCTTAGTTTGCCTAAACTTCTTCTCGTGCTCTGGGAGTGCTGCCACTCATAGTGAGAGATGCTGCTCACTGGAACCATTTTTACCATGCATTTGAATTGCTCTCCTTCTCTCACTGGAAGCAGCAGAACACTGCCCTTTCTGCTCTTTATTCTTGGTACTCTTCCTTTTCCTCTCTTTTCTAGGTTCTTTCTCACATCCTTTGGTTTAATCTCTTAATGTAATAACATGGAGCTGAACTGAAAATGCATCTCCACCTCCTTCTAGCGTCTGCTCCATCTTGCTCCCTTATGCAGTATAGTTTTATATTCCTTGTGTAAGAAGTTGGCTTCCTGTTTCTTGCTCCATAAAGCACCGTGTTCATTCACAGCAATACATATAAGAACATAATTTGGGTGGAAATGAAGGATGGCACAGAAGGAATAAATGCTCTTGTGATTTATTCTCAGAATAACCATCTGGACATCCAGCCACAAAACTGCCTGGGTCCGATCCCCCTCAGCTGCAACCCTTCTCCTGCACCCAGACTGTACTTCCAAACATACCTCCTCTGGTGTCATTGGGTCCTTAACCTCTACTGGCTCCTAAAGAGAAGAGTACAGTAAATTAAATCCCAAGATCAGAAGAAGGAGAAGTCAGGTCTGAGTCCACATCAGATTCTCACAGCAGAAATATATAGAGAGAGCCACTCTCCCGATAAGCTTGAGGGTAGAAACAGATTTAAAGACACATTTCCCCCTTCTGCAGTCAACTTTCAGGTGAATCAACCCCATGCTTATTTCCCCATGCCTAGTCAGAAATGAAAGCAAATTAATTTCTCTGGAGTACCACAAACTCCCACTGTCCCCTCAGGGACCCACAGTTCCATACAACCCCAGTCCCGTGATCCTGCTGAAGGACCCCTTCAAAGACATCCTCTACCAGACAGGCTGGAAGGAGCTCCTCCACAGCATTAACCCCAAACTCTTCCTGCCCTGAATCCCTAAAGTCTTCTTCTTCTCCTCCTCCTCTTGGTCTTGATCTCCCCTTTCCAGCTTTATGGCCTCCAGCTGCCCAGATATATATCTGGGCATGCATATATATATACCTAATATTGAAAGTTTATTATTATTATAGCCTAAGAAAACAGCATCAACTGAGTTGAAAACAGAAGAAAAACAGAAGCATTTAATTACTGGAATCCTAATATATATATATTAGGATTCCAGTAATTAAATGCTTCTGTTTTTCTTCTGTTTTCAACTCAGTTGATGCTGTTTTCTTAGGCTATAATAATAATAAACTTTCAATATTAGGTACAGGAGAACCTTCTTGGTTCCTCACCTGTCCGGCTGTTGTCTCTGGCTGAGGAGGAGGGTGGTAAAGGCACAGAAGCTGACGCATCAGTCTCCTCAAGCACCCACATCTCTGTCCTTTGAGGGAGGGAGGGGAGAGAAAGAGAAAGAGAAAAAGAAAGAGGGAGAAAGAGTAAGATCACCAAGATACAATGGTTTACCCTTTCTCTAATTCAGACCAGGCAAATATGCATATGTTACACTGATGTCTAACTACAGAAAAGTCTAATAACTACAGAAAAGTCTAATAGGCCACAGTGGACAAGACTGGAAGGTGCCCTCCATTATGAGACAGTATAAAAGCTTGTTTACTCTTGTCAACCTAATAGTGTTTCCTAATGATTGTTTCACAACACGTTTGTGTACACATGTACCTCTTTAAATTACAAACCAAATTTTAAACATTTAAAAGTTACTTCTTAAAAAAAACTTCTTATAATACAAGACAAGAACAATGCAACTAAGCTTACCTAAAAATAGGCATTGTCAAGGATTGGGTTAGAGGACAGGCAGTTCAGACTGCCTGCTGGTCTAGTCAATTTCATAATGGAATCTAATCAGACAGTCTGCTTTACATTCCTCTCTAGAGAGTTTCAAATCCCTCATCACAAAATTTGTACGCTGATTTTCCTCAATATAGTCAGTTTGAGAGCCCACACTCAAGTTTCCTGGCTTGATTTTTTCCTCCTTGCTGGTCACAATCTGTGTTACAGGCTGAACTTGCAATATATGGCACAGAAGAAGTCTGAAACCAGAAAGGTACAACATGCAACAGAAAAGAAGGAGCACAGGTAGCTGTCCGGACACAGGACAGCTACTCGCACTGTGCTTTAACCAGACCTTTTCCTATCTACCCCTACAAAGGATTAGGTTGCTATTTTGCTTTTTCTCTCCTTAACAGACATTTCTGCAGCAAGAAAAAAAAGATGGAAGAAGTGGTGAAAGGGACAGGAAGATTACAATTGAACAAGCAATAACATGTGGCTTTCCTCACCCCCAGCCCACAAAACTGTGTAAACGACACACAGAAACTGCACATTTAAAAGCTCCACCCTTTGAGAAGGAAAAAAAGCACACTCTTGCAAAATCATAATAAATCTATAGGCTTATGCACATTTACTTGGGATCAAGCTCTACTGAACAGAGTCAGTTCTGGAATCAATCTATGATCCATGGATTTGTGTGAGCTACTGCCCTTCAGCACATCTTGTGGCAGTGAATCCCCAAAATTCAGTGGGCACCTTTTGCAAAGAATTAGACAGGTTGTTACTCAAGTCACAGTTTGGATACCAGATGCTTCTCAGCAGGGGCTGAAAACTCAATCTGATTCTGATGCTCCATTTCTCAACCTGCTGGTATTCTAGCATCCTCAGGATCATTTCACGCAAGGGAGGTGGTATGGTATCTCTCCCAGAACTCCTCCCCACAAGAACCCAGCACTCTGCCGAGCATAGCTCCCGTTTGTCGCATACATACTTTATGTGTGTATGCATGGAAAATAAAAAATCATTTCCGGCATGCACCTAAAACTGTAATATTTAAAGCAGCCTGCAAGTGATTGGTTCTTGCCATCTACAACTTTTAATTCCCGCAGCAATTGCTGCAATCCTGTTCAGGTCCTGAGTTTCTGGACTAATCACCATCACTACTAGTTGCAGTCAATGCTTGGAAGGCGAAGATAAAAGAGACATTAACAGTCAACTGTCAATTAACAGACAACTGGCCTGATGAGAATGTTGACAAAATAGGGGTCGGCAAGCTCAGCCTAATCAAGGCAATTTTTTAGATTTGCTGGCAATCACTACACAAAGGAAGAGAGACTAAAGGGGGAGGGAATATGACCAAATAGGTCAATCTGCATAACGTGGGGAAACGGATAAAGGCTGAGACAACAATTTTTTGTTAGCTGAAAAAAATGGGCTTAAATCTTTAAAAATATATTTATATGGAAAAAAACCACCTTGAACCCTCTAATGGAAACATTTTAACATTACAATTGGGGAAATATGGAAGGCAGAGGAAGTGAAGATCCTTGGAACAGGGTAAATTGAACCCCATGACTTCCTGAGAAAAAATAATTTTTCCCCAACAAATTTTTTTGGAAATATTTGGGATGTGGGGAGGCCTGGGGTGGGGGTGGGGCACTGGGGACTGCAAAAATGATCCCGGTGACCACATAGAGCTCACAGGTTGCATGCGGCCCATGTTTCCGATATCTAGAATCTTAGTGGATAAAGGCAAGTCTCCCTAGAAGTCACAGCTTGTGTTTTAGCTCAGAGATCTGCATTCTGAGTCATCAAGAGGCAACTGAAATTGTGCTCTGCTCACCTACAGAGACATCGGCTCCTTTACCATCACTTCATAGGCTGACATTCTCCTCAAAGAGAGGTGGCAGCAGGATTCTCAGCCCACACTCCAGCAGCCTACAAGTGGTCCCTATTCCACCTGTATTCCCCACAGAACAAGTAGGCTTCTCGCCACTGGCTGAGATGTTCCCCAGATCCCAAATCCATAACATCAGGCTGATTACGTACTTGGATGTTCCTGAGGCACTGGGCTCTCTGTCAGTGGCTTATGTAGGGTCACTGGGCCGTTGGGTCCTTCAGGGTAAGTGGAGATAAACACCGGTTGCTGAGGAGGCTGCAAGAGAAAGAGCAGCTTAAGTATTAGTTCTTTTAAGGAAAAACTTTGCCTTGATCTGCTGCTTCTTCCTACAATGTTTCACCGACATCGCATAAGCAGTCCTTATAGGAATCCTACAAGATAGATAGTTGTAGTGGGCCACTCTCAAGCCTATACCCATCCAGGCCTCCAAGAGTGGTCACTACCTCTCACCAAAACTGCTGCCACCAACCTTAAAATCAAAAAGGACAAGTGTTCATTATCCTCAGAGAGCAGATTAAGTGGAGGTCGGGCAAAGATAGCTGGAGTGAGCAAATAACTTATTTAGGTCAAGCTGGAACATAAAATCAAAAAGGACAAGTGTTTCTTTCAAAACAAATACAGCGTTTATTGATTGTACAAAAATAAAACGATGAATCACAGGTATAAAATCAATTAGTCAATCACTGTTTCTCAGACACTAGCTCTCACGGACTTTTCCCTCACTGACAGGCTCTTTCTCACTCTCTATCAATCTCTCTAATCACTCATCTTCCAAACTGATCTGATCTGATCCTCTCTCACACATCACACACACCTTATATAGCCCAGCTCCTCCCACTTCTGCACCACCCTCCGTCCTCTCATTGGCTGAGGTTCCCCTGCCCAGCTATGACGGACAGGTGAGAGCAGAGCTGAACACCACAATAGTCATTATCCTCAGGGAGCAGATTAAATGGAGGTCAGGCAAATAACTTATTTAGGTCAAGCTGGAACAATTCAAACAGGCTTTTCCTGTTGTGATATGTTCCCTTTTTGATATGTTCCCGTTGTGATATGTTCTTGTAAAGATGGGGGGGGGCATGCCCATAGGTGAGGTTTCAGTGATATAGGCAGTTGAGGTGTGATGATCAGGCCCAGCAGGAGGACATGCAAAAGCAAAGCACCATTATTTTAATGTGGGGGATCGGGTGGTAGTCCTGAGTCCTATCAAACATACTGTAGTATGCTTCAGATTATGTGAGAAGGTTCTTTTATTATGAAGCAAAGTCTTAATGCTGTTAATTACTGAACTGACAGGTCTGGAAAAGGACTTTAAAAGTTTATCATGCCAATAGTTTAAAACCATATGTGACCAGAGATGAGGTAATTCCTGCACGTGTTATTTGAAAGTAAGGGAAAATAGTAACAGATTGGAAGGGGAAGTTGGTGATTTCTGTTATGGAATCATTTTGACATTATATTGTTTTTTATAAAATTACTGTTCAGATTTTTGGTCTTCTGTATCCTGAGACTCTTAAATACCTTTCCATGTTATTTTTCTACAGAAATGTTTTTGAGAAATATAGTAGTTTGAAGTTTTAAATGAGAACGCAGCTTCATGGCAAACCATAAAAGGACCAGCAGAGGCGGGACCAGAGGAAGGAAGGAAAGAATGGTGGGCTGGAATGCAACCTGCATTGCATCCAGTATGTTTATTGTGAAGCAAAGTCTTAATGCTGTTAATTACTGAACTGACAGGTCTGGAAAAGGACTTTAAAAGTTTATCATGCCAATAGTTTAAAACCATATGTGACCAGAGATGAGGTAATTCCTGCACGTGTTATTTGAAAGTAAGGGAAAATAGGAAAATCTCTGTTATGGAATCATTTTGACATTATATTGTTTTTTGTAAAATTACTGTTCAGATTTTTGATCTTCTGTATCCTGAGACTCTTAAATACCTTTCCATGTTATTTTTCTACAGAAATGTTTTTGAGAAATGTAGTAGTTTGAAGTTTTAAATGAGAACGCAGCTTCACAGCAAACCATAAAAGGTACGGCAGAGGTGGGACCAGAGAAAGGAAGAAGAAGAAAAAAACAGGGGCTGCAGACTAGAATGTAACTTGCATTGCACCCAGTATGAAGAGTGAACTCCCAAATCAATCTGCAGCCCCGGTGTGAGCACTGATTGCTATTCCAAACATGATATAGGTTGCAAATCAAAATCCAGTGGAATTGCACCCTAAGAGTGTTTGTTTGCCTTAGAGGTGAGATTCAAACCAGCAATTTCCAGGTCTACATCTCTTCTTAACTAGCATGTTACACTAGCTGTCTTTTTTTTTTCCACCCCTGCTTTCCTCCGTGTTACTCTTTCCTTCTCACTTCTCTTGGTTTCCATTCTCTCCTCTGTTTCCTTACCTCCGTTTTCTCCTCTTCATCCTCATCCTCATCTACAAAAGCAAAGGAATCATGCTTCCACCTGTGCCCATCATACGGTGACTCAGACAGCTTCTGCTGCATCTCCTTGGCAAGGTGCAAACGTCTCTCAGAACTGAGGTGCCTGGACAGAAGGGCCTGTAGCTCTGTCCGTTCCACTGAGCCCATGAGGATCATTGACTCTATAGGAAGAGAAAGAAGAACAAGTAAAGGTAAGGCTAGCAGGGCCTTCCTATGACATCCATTGCCTGGCACTTTTGTTACTTTAAAAATTATCCCATCTGTCTTCTGAGAATTTCACAGTAAGCATGTCATTTGGACCATAAATCCAATAATTCTCGATTCTTGGAATTCTACCAAATAGACAAATACTTACGAACATATAAATGTGTTTCACTTGGGGGAAAAGCACTGAAGCCCAGCTGGGCCTAGCTCTCTGTGCAGAAAGGAAGATCCCAGCTAGCACTGAGATATCTTCCTTTCTGCACAGGAAGCTAGGTGGAGCTAGGCCTAGCTAGGCCACAAACCCTTCCAGATTAGGCCTTATTCTCAGGTGAGCTACATTTAGATGTCTATAGGCATCTGGCTGTCTGGTGGAATTCCCAGAATGGTCATTATGGGATATGTGGTTAAAAACAATCTGAAAATCTTATGTCTACAAGGCAAGATACAGGGTTTTTCTCCTCCCCCATTTTCATCCTTAAAGTCATGCTGAAAGGTACTAACCAAAAGTCATCCAGTGGAGGATTGAACTAGGGCTCCATGGAGCCCAGGAGGTTCATGCCCTCCCCCATCCCATTGAGGCACTGGTCACAAACCTGTATGTAATTTTAGGGTTTAAAATTCCATCTAAGAAGGTGACTTTCAAACTTACAGGAAGAAGAGAAGACAAGGTCTCTGTGGAACTGCTCCTAACTTGTTCTGTCTAAGAAGCCCAAGAAACAGACTCCAGGCATATCACAGACCAGATGTCATCTTGAGGCATACATCTGATTCTTACTGACCTTCCCTACAAGTTCTAGAGCAGCTGTCTTCCACCTGTGTCTGGAGAAGTTCTGAAAACTCTTGGAAGATTTTCTATAAAACCAATAGCAATGGACAGACCTTCTAAAAGGTAGCTTCTCTTCCTTAACTGATCTTCCCCTGTAATTTGCAAAGTCAGTATAGTACTCCAGGGCACACCTTCCTTTCCGTAAAAGAAACAATACATTATCTAAAATATGCCCTCCTTGGCAACCTGTCTCCATGGTTGACAAGTTGACATGGGATGTATTTTCTGAAAGTAAGAAGAGTAGGATATTTGAAGGTAAAATTGGAAATGTTATGAAATATTTAGGGATTAATATCGCCTGGAATTTACAAGAAATAATTAAAATAAACTTGGATAGATTAAAAACAGAAATAAACGGAAGGATAAAAGAATATCAGAATCTAAAGATTTCATGGTTTGGAGTGGCATTATGCAAAATGAAAAATATTTCTAAACTGAACTTTATATTTTGGATGCTTCCTATAAGGATCACAGAAAAACAACTGAAAGAGTGGCAGACAATGATAAATTGTTACTGCAACAGAAATACAGTAAACAAGTGAGGATCAATAAAAATTATGGTACGTTACACACAAAAAGGGAGGTCTTGGATTACCTAACATAAAATTATATAGCAAATCACCTTAGACATATCCCAGATATAATTAAGGGTAATAAAAACTTAATCTGGACAGATACAGAGATGGAGGGTATGCAAGAAAGAGTGGAGGGTAAGGGGTATACACCGAGGGAAGAAACAATGAAATTTTGGAGTGAAAATGGATTGAATGAAGTTTAATGCTGGTCCTGAAGGTGATGGGGGCACATGTGTAATTGTATCTTATTTTTTATTGTTTTTTGTGTGGTATTAGGTTTATGTTGTATTAATTGAAAATTTTTTTAAAAAAGAAGCGTAGAAAATGCTGTTTGTTCCAGGTCTTACCAAAATCAAGACCTTTCTATTATTTATTATCAATTATCATTTATTAATTACATTTCCATTAAAAGATAGCACTCAAGGTGCATTACAAACTTTTAAAATAACAAAAACAGATAAACTCACATGTAAAAAAACAACTCAGAATCACATTAACCAGCTGCACTGCAAAAACGTTAAAATTAGACAAATACATTTAAATCAGCAAAAGATGCAGATTAAAAACAACACAGCAAGGTGGGTTAGATAGTACATGCTAGTCTAAAAAGGTGAGTTTTTACTCCCTCCTTAAAATCAGTTGGAGTGGAAACAAATCACAACTCAGAAAGGACTGCATCCCAGTGTCTGGGAGTCACACAGGAGAAGGCCCTCTCCCTCCTGCTTGTTATGCAAGCTTCTCAAATGTTGTTATCTGAATATCGTAACTTCTGGACAGGCTCATAACAAGACAGGTGGTCATTTAGATAGCCAGGCCCCACACCATTTAGAGCTTTAAAGGTTAACGGCAACACCTTCAATTGGATCCCATAAAATAATGGCAACTAGTACAGGTCTTTGAGTATTGGGGTCCTTTGGTCACAATACTATGTCCCAGTTAGCAGCGGCCACACGTTGCACCAACTGGAGATCCCAGGCGTTCTTCAAGGGTCACTCCACACAGACTGCACTGTACTAGTCAACATGTGGTGTAACTAGGCCATGGATGATTATTGCTAAGTCAGTTCAGTTCAAAAATGGTCAAAGCTGACACACTTACTGGAATTGTGCAAAGGCACTCCTTGTGATCACTGCCACCTGGGAGTGCAGAATCAAGGATACATTCTCAGACTATGAAGCTGACCTGGCAGGGAGATTGCAGCTTTTTTTAGAACAGGCTGAATCTTGGTTCCAAAATGTGACTTTCTACTGACCACCAGCAGCTCTTTCTGATCAGGGTTTAGTTTTGCCTTGTTGACTCTCATCCAGTCCATTCTCAAGCTCAGGCAAAGTTCAAGGGTCCTGAGTGCTTCCTCAGTGTTGGAGGACAACGAGCAGTAGACCTGGATGCCATCAGTTTATTGCATGTCAAGTAATACAGGCATATAGATGTTAAATAGTATAGGGATAAGGTGGGGCCCTGAGGGATGCCACAGACTAAAGCCCATGGTGTTGGAACAGTGTTCCCCTAATGCCACCTTTTGCGTATGTCCTGACAGGAAGGGTTGGAACCGCTTCAGTGCAGTGTCTCCAATATGCAACCTAGCCAGGTGATCCAACCTCAGTCATGGGCAATGGTATCAAGTGCTGCTGAAAGATCCAGGAAAACTAATAAGGCTGCATTCCCCTTATCCAGTCTCTCAGTGTGGGTCATTTACTAAAGCGACCAAAACAGTCTCAGTCTCAAAGCCCAGCTGAAAGCCTGATTGAAACGTGTCCAGATAATGAATAGCAGGAGTGCCAGGTAGGACTGTGTTGAATAGGAAAGGGTGGGGCCTGCAGTGTTTGGTGCAGAGGTAGTACACATCATACTTCACCTAGGAATGTCCGCAAGGTCTTGGCTGTCTTCACCAGCACTATTCATTCATTCATTCATTCATTCATTCATTCATTCATTCATTCATTCATTCATTCAGCAGAACAACCTGCTTCTTGGCTCTCCACCTCAACAGAGCAAGTCTACTCTGATGCAGTATTGTCCAGCTCTGCTGTAGCCCCTCTACATATAAATCAGCCACCGTGCTCTTCATAAACAGCAGGAGGTTTTCACACACAGTGAACAACAGCTGCTGTGTATCTGACATCAGACTACTGTAGCTTCCTACCCATCTCACTCAAAGCATCGGTCAGGAGTGCCAAGTGGATGATGACCAAACTCTGCTGCCTCCCAGGCCTTCTGTTGCCATTTGCTCTTCCTGCAGCCAAATTCTCTGAACAGTTCCCCACCCCCAGCCTCCTCAGTCTTACTCGCAGAACTGGATAAGCCATCAAAAATGCCAAAAGGGATGGCTTTTTACGGGGGCTTATCAACAATAGGTCATGCAAAACACAAATGCCTTAGGAGACAATCACTCTTAAATTCAGAGCAGACCCAAGCCCACTTCTGTGGTTATCTGATTGTTGCACTGAAATTTGTCCTTTCGAAACAAGACCAGGACATGTTGTGTGAAAAACCAATGATTTTGAACAGTTTCACTCAGGAGACACAGAATCCCCAAACTAGCTTTTCCCTGAGCTCTTGGACCTCCAAGTCTCGCCTGGGGACTGCAGACTTCCTCAGATTTCCTGGTTGTGTTCATTGGATGCCCACAAGGAACAAAATGGTGGATGAAGCCATAGCAATATCCACAAAACACAGCAGAAGGCATGCAATGTGTTAAATGGAGTATTGTGCTATCGGAGAGAAGAGAGAAAGCGGAGAAGCAGTGAGGTGGGCAGAGTAAATCTGGGGAGGATCACCCACTAAAAAGGCTCCATTAATACATCCAGGTCATGCAGGAAAGGAAGGGATCTAGTTTTCCATACAACTCACCTGGTGAATCCACCAGAGGAAAGGTTTTGATATTAGTATTCTGGAGTAGATCCTGCAGGTCTCGGTATTTGCAGTTAGAGGAAATGAATTTTACCTCAGACACCATAATATCTTCAACAAAGATATTGAACTTGCTTGAGTGGGTAGAAGTTAAGAAACAAAGAAAAAGGATTAAATGAAACAGAAGGAACAGCCATACATTCATTCTTGGCAATGTATATTCTGTCTGAAGAGCACATATGTAGCTGCCATATGTGCAATTACAATCCAGTCCAAGCAATGAAAACAGAATAACAACTTACAATGATATAATATAATGAATAAATAACAGTAAAGGCCATGTCAGGATCAATTCCACTTAACATCAGGTGCCTGATAAAAGTGCTTGGAAAGTGGACAAACCAGCTCAATCTCTCTTAAGGAGAGCACTCCCTAATGAGGATGCCGTTGATGCTTGAGTCTGCCTGCAGGATATCAGCTTAGTTGGCACTGGAGCAGGGCCTCATCTAATAAGTGATGCCCCCAGGAAGTGAATCTTCCAGGAAGAGGCCTTTCCCAAGATACTCCAGACACAGGGCATGTGGGCCCTGGAAATCCAGAGTCCACACTTTAAATTGGAACGAGAAATGAACTGGAAACTGTTGCAATTCTTGAAGCTCAGATGTAATATTCTTCTAGTGGATCACTCCCATTAATAGAGAGGGTCACACATTCTGAACCAACTGGCATTTTCAGCCAGTATGCAAGGTCAGCCCTCTTACACTTTCTGGTGTGCTTGTCTACATATCATAAACTTAGAGATTTAGCATCACCAGATATTTAATACTGGAGGCATTTAATACTGGAGAGAGGTTTCTCGGGGTTGAGAACCACCTTCCAACACGGATTAAGTTCTCATCTCAAGACCCCGATGTAATATTCTTCTAGTGGATCATTCCCATTAATAGAGAGGGTCACACATTCTGAACCAACTGGCATTTTCAGCCAGTATGCAAGGTCAGCCCTCTTACACTTTCTGGTGTGCTTGTCTACATATCATAAACTTAGAGATTTAGCATCACCAGATATTTAATACTGGAGGCATTTAATACTGGAGAGAGGTTTCTCGGGGGAATGCCCGATAGCCACCTGAAATTCCTCCTGTAAATTGTATTTAACAGCAGTGACTTGCAGGAGGTGTGAGCTGAAAGACAATTCCCAAAGAATTCTTGATTGGCAGCTCCTACCTCTGATTTGCAAGCTAACACCAAGGTGAACCAAAAGAATCAAAAGTTTTCTATGAGGCTCCATCCTATAGAACTCATAGGTGTTACTACTCCTGAAAACGGTTCAAGCTGAGAGGGTGATAGCTATTAAGACAGTGTGGTAGTTTGGGGAGAAAATTCAGGAGGCATTTGGGAGGCAATAGTGAGTTGAAGAAGGGGCCACCACAGGAATTACTAGTCCAGTTTTATGCTACATCAACTGATATCAATAAAAGCATACAAATCTATGAACAAATCTGGACCTCCACGAGAACTTCCACTCTGAATATAAATTCTTTTAAACTGAGATTCAGCCAATTCCTAGAAGTGCCAACTTGGAAGGGAGGACAGAGTCCCTGCTATCTCCAATCAGCATATAGGGGGTTCCAGTTGTTGTCTCCAGTCTCTGACTAAAGCCAGTGAGGACCCCTCTCTTTGCCAAAGTAGATTGATCCCAAGTCAATTGGAAAGCCTAAAATTAACTTCTCTATCTGGGCCTTGTTTTTTCATATGCAAGTTAGCTCTACTAACCCTATATGGCAATGCATTTGAACTAGCATAGAACACACTAATTTATATGTCAGAATGCAACATACTTTAGGCAATACTTTGAAGTTGCTGTTGTTTTTCTGTGCTGCCAAGTCACCCTCAACATATGGCAACCCCACGAATAAGCATTCTCCAGAACGTCCTGTCAACAGCCCTCCTCAACTCTTGCAAACTCAAGCCTATGGCTTGGCTTCCTTTAGGGACTCAGCCCTTCCCATATTGGGTCTTCCTTCCTCTTTTCTTGCTGCCTTCCACCTTTCCCAGCGTTATTGTCTTTTCCAGAGAATTCTGTCTTCATATGATGTGCCCAAACTGAGACAACCTACTTTAGAACCACTTTTTAATTTATTTGATTTTAAAAAAATCAGCCTAATCATCCTGCCACTTCATGCTCCCTCCCTTCCAGCCCCTCTTTGACAGCTTTTTACCTTATTTGATTCCAACCCAGGTCGGGCAGGTAGGGCAACTTCTTCACTTGGATGATGCTGTCGTAAAGGCTTGGCTGCAAACTCTGGGCCACCATGTTGGCAAGGATGACGGCCACCATCATGGGCAGGATGTGAGAGATCTGACCTGTCAGCTCAAAGCAAATCACTGCTGTGGACACCGTGTGGCTCACTGCGCCTGTCAGAGCTGCCGCTCCTTTCCCAATTGCAGGACACGGGGAAAGAGCAAGGAAAGTTAGCACAATCTAGACTGCAGCTGGAGTTGAAAATTCCAACTAAGGGAAAAGGCACGAGGGCTTACCAATCACTGCATAACCTCCAGGTAAGATTTTGTAAACAATGTCATCAAAGAGAATCCCATCAGGGAAAAGCCAGGCCATGATTTCACCAACAAGGCGTCCAAAGGCAGCCCCTAAAAGCCACAGTGAGATGATTCAGTAAATACCCCCAAGCCCCCAAATGGAAGTGCACCCCTCGTTGTTTTTAGTCATCCTGCTGTGTCTGCTAGGTCTACTTAGAACAAGAGAATAATCTGCTTTCAGAATTGCTGGTAGGCAGGAACAGTCAACACTTGTAAGTCAGCAGTAAGGTAACAGAGGCCAAGAAGAAACCAAAATGTTTTTGAGCAAATAACCTACATTGTTGTTGTTTTTGAAGACAAAGTCCAGACAAGAACAATGAGTTCACTACTTCTATCTATTTTAGAAATTACTAAAACAATAGAAAATGGCATAACCCCCAATATTCCTCAAAAGTAATAAATTGAATTAAAGCAAAATGTTAGTCTTTAGTTAAAAATGGAACACCACTAGTGTTTAATGGTTAAAACAATCCATTTTAAAAATCATGTGTTGATCTTTTAAATGAATTATTTCCATAATCCTAGTCTGTCTTTTTCTTCTGAACACCTGTGATTTACCTAGCTAAAGGAAGTACACAGTGCAACGAGATAAACAGGAGCAGTTATGGGTGGAACATTGTGAGTTTGTGGAAAGTAGCTGGAATGTAAGGAGAAGGGAATGAATAGCTGGCAATTAAGGGAAATGTTAAGGGATTCCCTAGCAGGCATTCACGGGGAGAAATGCTGGGGCTTTCATCATTTTTCAGAAGCATCATTCAATAGTAATGTATCCCTTTTCCAAATCTTTCTTCTGTTACAATTACAGCTGTTAAAATCCTGTTCTTAGAAACTGCAGGAAAATAGTGAAACTCACCCAGCACAAACACAGGCATGAAGCCTCCACAGGGTATTGGCATGGTAGTGGCAATGACAGACATCCAGAACTAAGAGAGAGGTGACAACAGCATGATTACTGGGTGCTCTTAGCTTCTCTTGCAGCTCCACTGAACTTGGTCAAAATTGTTTGAGGAGCCTGACAAGTGACTGTCACAATTCAAGTTTCTGTGAGGTACCTACCACCATCTTCTGACTGCTTCTCCAGGTCCCCTTCCCCAAGTGCCTGCTTGCCTCTTCCTTCCTTCCTTCCTTCCTTCCTTCCTTCCTTCCTTCCTTCCTTCCTTCCTTCCTTCCTTCCTTCCTTCCTTCAAGTGTCATAAATAAGCTATTTGGCACTTAGTAAAATGTAAGAAGCCAAGGAAAGAAATTCATGTGGCTATAAACTGCAGAGCAGCCAAAACAACAACAAGTGACATAGAATAAACCATCTGCCCTGAACCTCTAATAACCCCAACATCTCCCAACTGGTAGTCAGACAAGTTTGCCAGATCTTAGGTTCTGGACTTGAGACTCAGATTTTTAGTGTCCATCCTCCAGGTCTCAGGCTACAAGGAACTGGATGGTGCCAACCTGGCAATCCTAGCGCTTCAGCTTTGTTCAGGCTTCAGGGCATGCCATTTAGCATTGCTGCCAGAGGGCCCATCCCATGGCATCAAAAGGCCTGCTCCTTGGTCTCAGGCTTTGGTCCTAAAATCTCAAGAAATGAGATGCAGTTGCCCTGACAACCCCATATAAAGAAGACTCTGTTGGGCCCCTTTGTGGTCTCTCTCGTTTTCACTCTTGTTCTTCCCTCCAACTTTGAAAATATGATGGGGTGGTGGTGGTAATATTTTTTATGAAACTCACCTCAGGTAGAAGAACATGACTACAATGAGTTGTGGACCACATACTACAAGTTTGCCAGCCCACCTCATTCCTCATTCTTTTCTATTTAACCTATCTCAACTAGATGAAACATCTGGATGAGGAATTCTGAAACCTCAAAGGCTTTCACAGCCGGGATCTGATGGTTGTTGTGGGTTTGGTTTGTTCTTTGGCTGTCTCTGTGGCCGGCATCTTCAGAGGACTGGACTCCAGAGCATGGACAGAGTTCCTACTCCAGAGAAAAATCCCGGCCACAGAGACTGGCGAAACATCAGGAAGAACAACCTTCAGAACACGGCCAAAGAACCCGAAAAACCCACAACAACCAATTTTGAAACCCTGGAAGATTTATTGTCTCCACTGCAAGAATAACGCAAAAAGTGGTTCCCCCCCCCCAACAAGGTTTCTGAAATCTGTCTAAAATGTCTCTGAGGCACACTTTGCAAAACTAACTAGCATCTTTTCCCTGTGAGAACCAAAGCACACCCCTCCCATACACC